AGAGACAAAGAGCCGGCACGAGTTGAACGGAGGCGTCATGAATATGCACACAATGTGTCAAGGGTATCGAGAGATGGGGGAAAGAATTAGTTAACAAGGGGGAGGTATGAAATTTCGACAGGTGTAGATGTGAACAACAGTTGGCGAAAGCAACCCCTGTAAAAAGCAATTGTTCATTCCTCTCGTAATGCGCTGTTTGCAGTGGCCTTAGCCAGAGTTCGTAAGTGGCTGACCCAAAGCGCAGGTAAAAGAGCCCAGTTGCGGCGTAGTGTAATATGTAGTGTAATATGTCGTGCTTGAAGATAGAGCTCAAACAACCAAAAATTCGTGCTGTCGTGGGAGTGCTCGATATCTTGCCTTTGCATGCGACCAGCCCAGATTCAATCTGGCAAGCTGAGGCGGCAGGCAAACGCCGTGCTCTGTATGGAATAATCACAAATTATACCGCGTACTCTTACCGGGTTGGGCGGAAGACAAACTGGTCCCAGATATGGTTCGTCAGTGAACGTACTCCGTACGGCGTAACGTGTGTGCATCTGTTGTGTGTGATTGGCAATCAGCTAGGTTTGCAAGTCGATGCGCGTGCGCGAGAGGGCGCGTGCCCTGGCGCTCCAATCTGGGTTGCCGTTCGTTAGAGCCGTGCGCACCCTGTCCGGCATGCTGCAGGTGCACTGGCCGATGAGTTGCAGTAGCCAAATTACGACAATGTCGAAGTGAGATTTGTTGTATGTTGCAGACTATTTCCGTTTTCACTTTTTAACCCCTGAAAATAGGCAGTTGTCAACAACATACAACAACAACAACAACAACGCAAGAACGGAAAGAGCAGTTTTCAATATTTCTATAGTTTCGCGGAAGGAACGAACGGCACGGTCGAGCTAGATAGAGCCTGGGAAAGAGCCGGCGTCTTCAACAAAGAGTCAAGACGCCCGGTTAGCTCAATCGGTAGAGCGTGAGACTCTTAATCTCAAGGTTGCGGGTTCGACCCCCGCATCGGGCTCAAATCCTGATGCGCCTTTCCAAAAGGCACCGCATTGAACTCTTATCTTTTGTTGATTTTTGTACATCGTGCATTCCCGATTTTATTTTATTTCTATTTCATCTCACTATGTATGCATTGGGCCTCTAGAAGCATGCTATTTTTTATGACAAGACTTAGAAAGTCAAGTACCGGCCTTTCTTGTTCTACTCTTTTCGGGGCGTTGTACAGCGTCAACTAGGAAAAACACTATTATAAGGCTTTGGGCGATTGCAGAAACCATAAGAGGCCAGGAAGATCGAGACAAAGCGCTGGGATCGTACAAACACGCCTGGGCAGATGCCAGCCCTCGTAGGACATATGCTGGCCGGCCAAGGCCCGCATCCGAACGTCTGTCGCTATCCGACGGGAGCGGGCATCAGCCCAAAGAATGTCCGCCATCTGTTCCAAGATCGCATTGTTGGGTATGGGCCTACAGTATACGGAGGTACGTAGATGTTGTCTGCTGTTTGCACGAAGCAGTTGAGCAGCTGACCTAGACAGCAAAACTTCATCGGTTCCACGTTGTGCAAGCTGCGTGCATTGCACTTCTTTTTACGTCTGGGTGCTTCAGCTACCTTCATTCAGCTCTCAATCCCCGACACCTCAACCACCACGATCCCCCCCAACTTTGCTGCACGAAGCTTACCACGTTGTGGTACGCTGTATGTAAGCATCAGTCAAGAAAGGAACAGAACCGTGGCGAGCATGGCCACGGCCCGTGACCCTTATCCGCCAGCACTAATGCTGTATGACTCGAGCCATCCATTGCGATCCCGCGAAATGCCATTCTGCAGACTCGAAGAACCGATTCGATTTAGCAAATATCCCCGTCCGTGGCGTTTCGGACTTGGTGATGCTATGACCAGTGCTATTGAATAAGAAACAGAATCCTAGTCAACAGCCTTCTGCTCTGTTATAATCCATACAGGAAGTGCTTAGAGAAGCTGCCAAACAATGTCAAAATATCGTGGACAAAAAAGGAGTGATTCTTATTATGTTGACTTGGTCAATAGAAATCCCAATTTGAATCTGGTACTAAATTGTGCAATCAAAATATGGTAGATGATTGTACGAAAAATATATTGTAAAGTCTTGTCATTAACAATTGTTTAGTAGAGGCTATTATTAGAATTTTTTTTGTCTTTTTATTTTCTTTTAATATTCAATACGAATATTTGGGTAGAAAGTACAAAAATAAATTGAAAAGTAAAAACTGAGAACGGAAGCTTTGTTTATATTATGTTGTCTAATATATTCATTCCCATAAGGCACTGCACTCTTATGGTCACTAACAAACAACGCCCATTAAAAACGGAAGCTGCCCTACGGCGCGTGGTGGGCTCTCTAATTACGTTGTAATCACGGTGGAATTACAAGCAGCAAAAATGTGCCCCGCATTGCAGTAATTTTTTTTTGTGCCGTCATCGCCGACCGTCTAACAAGGTAGCCACATATTGAAAGTCAACCACGAACCATCATACCACCCACGCAAAACGCACAAAATGGCTCCCAACCAGTACATCCTGGCAGCGGACAACAGCCCCGCGCTGCTGCCGCTGCTGCGCGCCAACCCGGAGCTGGCGCGCGAGCAGGACGAACATGGCTACTCGTTGATTCACGCGGCCGCCAGCTACAACCACCTCGAACTGCTGCGGACGCTGGTGACGGAGCTCAAAGTGCCAGTGGACCTACGCGACGAAGACAACGAGACAGCCCTGTTTGTTGTGGAGACGGTGGACTCGGCGCGCTGCTTGGTGGAGGAGCTGGGGCTAGACCCGTCACTGAGGGGAGACGACGGGTTGACGGCGGCCGAGAAGATTGCGGGCGAGGCGGAGTTCCCGCAGGTGGCAGAGTACCTCATGGGGCTGCAGTCGGTGCTGGCGGCAGCCAACGACGTATTGAAGGAGGGAGAGCTGCCACCGCCGCCCGAGGGCATGCGCGTGACGATGGGCGCGATGCCGGTGGCCACGGTGGAAACCGCCGAGCAGGGCGACGGTGGAGAGAGCAGCAACAGCGGCATCAACAATAACGACAATGGTGGAGAGGGCAGCAGCGCCAACGCGTTTGACGACGCGCTAGGTGGCCAGCCGGACCCGGAGCTCCGTCGCCGGATTGAGGAGCTGGCAGCTCGGCCCGATTTTCACACAGAGCAAGGCCAGGCGGCGCTGCGGCAGCTCGTGCAAGATGCGCTCTTAGGCCAAGACCTGACCGAGGACCGTAACGTGCGCCCGCGGCAGGACTGAGGACGTGTTCCACGCTTTAAGAAAAGAAAAAAAGACAGAGATCATCATGACCTGCCGTCATTCGTGGCTGTGCACATCCCAGAGTAGAAACTCACGCGGCGCATCGGCCGGGCGGAAGAATGTGCACTCGGCGCCGTCGCCAGCCAGACCCATGGACGACGAAAACTCAGACACGCTCATGGACAGCCAGACTGAAGTGGGAGACGAAGAGGAAATCGACTGAAAGGCGATGAGAATGTCCAGCAGAGTCTGACAGGCCCATGTCGGCGAGAGGAACCCGCTGCAGGAAATCGTGACTATGTTGTCAGAAGGATGTGTTGCCACATCGTGATCGTCGCTGGAAGATCCGGGCACCTGGTAGCGGCTGAGGTACGGGTCGATGGAGTCCGCTGCGTGGACGCGAGGGCTTCCGAGTCGCACGAGCGAGAGCCACTCATACAGCTCTGTGACGGCCTCTTCCGTCTCCATGCGATCATTGCCTTGACCACCGCCGACAAGGAGACTGGGCGGGCGTATCAGTGGCGGCAGTGCGATGTTGGCGTGTGTTGTCACAGCAGGCTCCACTGTGACCCATGTCGGGGCATACGCGTCGAGAGGATTGGGGTTGGGGACTGTCACGTTAGAAATATAGATCTTGTACGGACAATAATGCAAACCCGTGTACATACCATCAAACATGCTGCAGAACAGCCAGGTGCGAGCCGTGTTAAACACGTTTTTGCACGCGTAGATGAGCCGGTCAAAACCGCTCTTGCCGGGCCACATAGCCTTGGGATTGAGGTCCAGCTCGACGATCCACCGCGGACGCAGGCCACGGCTACCTTTGGCACCGTGCGTCTTGCCCACAAGGCCGGCGCGTTCGTACGCCTCGCGCTCGAGGTACAGCGTCAGGCGGCCGTCTTTGAGCGTAAAGACATTGTCCTGGCCGAGACGGCCGTCGGACAGCATCAGGACGTTGCCAGCCTTGACGTACTCGGTGAAAAAGGCGCCCTCGAGTACCTGGCCCAGCGTCATGACCACCCGCGCATACCGTGGCTGCGCGGAAGTTTCTGGAGACTGCTTGGCCATTGTGCGTTGGACCAACTCGGCACAGGTCTGCGGCACAATAAGCTCCAGCCGACTGACGAAGCCGAGCGCCTGGATGCTGGACCAGGGCTTCTTGAGCTTCTTGGCCGTGTTGGGCACACGCGTCGTAGACGACTGTGATGACGGTGTCGACAGGGCTGGTCGAATGCTCTCAATAGCTGGTGGTTGAGTTGGATCAATATGGCCCATGACGCCGTGCGAAAAGAAGCATTTGGACGCCTGAAAAACAGACGGTTCTGGTGCGAACGGCAGCATGGTGGCGTGACACGACGTGACAGAAGATGGACCTTTCGGCGACTGTCGAGCAAGACACAAAACAAAAAAAAATATAGTGGTCGCAAGGTTTGAACGTCTACAATGGACAGCACTAGTTTGGTGACAGTGTCGCGGGAGTAAGCGAGTCGTCCGAGGGAAGGCTGCACGCTGTGGGATGCACCTTCTCGCAATAATTTTTGAGTTGCCCCACTAAAAAGTTTAACGTCACTTGTGCTTGTCAACCCAACCCGACGACAATACAGGAAGGAACGGGGACATTTTCAAAGCGGAAGCCGCACGGGTGTTTTATTTATGTATGTTCTAGTCATTTCCACACAGTCTACTCATAGAGAACAGGGCACAAGGAGGCCGAGCTAACGTCACCAGTGCCCGCCATGGAGTACCTCGTGCGCTTCAGCCAGTCACACGAGTCCTTTCGACTCGCCGAGATCCAGGCGCTGGCCACGCTGGAGGGCATTGAGCTTGAGATTGTTTCCTACATCACTGAGGCGAGTATTTATCCTTTCGGCTTTACGTTTATTGACTCGCAACCCCCGCTCACACATCGTAGTCCCCCTTCTGCGTCATCAAGGTCGCCGACGATGATGCTGCCACACGGCTTGTCCGCCGCTCTCTGCTGGCCCAGTCCATCCACAGCCTCTGGGGTCGGGGCGATACCTTAGACGAGTTTTATGCGGACATCAGTCGACGTGCGGCGCCGCTGTGGCCTCCCTATGTCAAGTCCAGCTTCAAGCTGGAGTCCGATGCTTTCCAAGGCAAGCGCAGCAACAAGGATCGCCTCGCTCTCATCGACAGCTTCGGCGCCGTCCTGCCGCTCGACGGCGACATTGATATGCGCAATCCTGAGCTCGTCTTAACTGTATTCGAGCATTGGACGTTTGGGTCGGTGCAAAAGAAGCTTCCAGACCCGGAGCACTTCTACATGGGGCGCTTCGTCGCCAACACCGCACGTGACGCCAGTCTCACATTTGACCTGAAGAAACGCCGGTATATTGCAACCACCAGTATGGATGCCGAGCTGTCCTTGCTGACGGCCAATCTGGCACTGGCCGCGCCTGGAAAGCTGTTTTATGACCCCTTTGTCGGTACCGGCAGCTTCCCACTTGCGGCGGCGCACTGGGGCGCCACGGCCTGGGGCAGCGACATCGATGGGCGGGCCGTTCGTGGATCGGCAGCGGGCATCAATGGCGCTGGTGGTAGTGGTGGAAGCCGCACCGGGAGGGCCGATGTGCGAGGCAACTTTGAGCAGTACGGGCTGCTGGCTGCCTTTGGAGACGTGTTCACTGCTGACTTGACGCACATCCCGCTGCGCCGCGGTGCCGAGCACCGGTGGATCGACGGTATTATCTGTGACCCACCATACGGTGTCCGTGAAGGACCTCGCGTGCTGGGTGTCCGGAATCCCGAGAAGAAGCCGTGGGCTGTGGAAGCAGGAAAGAAGATGTATAAGTACGTTTTGTGGACTGTGGAGGCGTTCATGTGTGCCATGGGAAGGCTCTAACACCTTGTAGGGACCCAACTTTCATCCCGCCGAAGCAGCCATACAGCTTTATGGCGCTCCTCAATGATCTCATGTGCTTTGCTGCCGACACACTTGTCGACAACGCCCGCCTCAGCTTCTGGATGCCCACCGCCAACGACGAGGCGCAAGAGCTTCCTGTACCTACGCATCCCTGCTTGGAACTCATCTCAGTCTGTACCCAGGTGTTTAACAAATGTAGGTCACGCCAGCTTCCCACGCAGGAATGCCGCATTTCACCACTGCTAACTCTCCAGGGTCTCGCCGCTTGATAACGTTCCGCAGACTGCCCAACTCAGAGGTCGACGCCGACGCACTTGCACTTGCCACGAGAGCCGCTTCGGATGCACCCAAACTGAAGGGCCAAACAGCCAACGACCTCAACCCGTTCCGGAAGAGCTACTTTAGCAAGTTTGAAGTGTCTGGCAGTACGGCATCAAGTTCTGGTGATAGCACACCAGCAAAGACCGAGCCAATTGCGGAAACCCCTGACGCTCCTCCTGCGTCAGAAGCACCCACAGCCACCGCGACGGCGGCCAATGGGTTAATACCTCGGCCAGATTCGAGGCCGGGCCCGGCCATGACGTCGGTGCCGACCCCTGCTCCTGATTAACAGGCCCAAATGACGACATTCTATAGACAATAGAATCAAAAGACTGGATTACAAAATAGACCTGAAGCCTGGGTAAATTGCTTGTCCATTTTTGCGTGCGATTTATAAAGGGTATTCGAAAATAAACACCGAGATGACAAAGAGAGCAACGCAAAAGATTTCCATGCTTTCAGTCTCCCATCCACTATCGTAAGTAAAGAAACAAGGCCGCCATCAATCTTTTATGTTTTGTCTCCAGGGTACAAAAAGAGTGGAAAAAAGAATAAAACAGACACAAAAGAAAACAAGCCTTTTACCATGAGCTGACAGATACATAACCTCCAAAAATTGCTGCATAAACTAATGTTCCAAAAATGTGACGCAATGGCTGAGAACGAAACCGGTAAACGACGTATAAAAATAAGGCGAAGAAACAAAAGCAATAAAAGCAGGAGAAAACATTTAGTTGTCCAATTTGCGCCACTACTGTCGTATTGTAGGAAGGATGAGAATGGGGAAGTATAAAGGAACGATGCATAGGCGGTACGCCGACGCGGTGGGAGATCGTATAAGGAGACGACGTCTGGAGAAAACAGTATGCCCAGTTGGCTGAGGATCGGCTAACCGGTATGCCAGTAGGTGGCAGCTTGCCCGACGACCATTTGTCAATTCGGGTTTGGACGTGTTCCATTCATGCGAGATGGGTTAATCGTGTTGTCGTACATCATTAGCGGTTCGCCCTTCATCGGAACTCCACGGCGCTCATGCAGCCTTTGTCCTCAACATGCTTGAGCTCGAGTTGCTGGAATCTAGACACATTGTTAGCAAAGGTAGTGCTACTAAGATGCAACGAGCGCAGTCTTGTTGAGTTAACGCACTTTTCGCTCTTAGAGTGGAAGTAGATGCCGTGGACAACGCCCTCGAGTTGGTTGAAACAGATGTAGTAGAAGCCCTCAAAACTCGCACCGTGGATTGTCCGCACACGATGGTCCGGCACAAGGAAGTGTTCCTTCCAGCGCATAAATATGTTCTCTTTTTGCAGGTGCTCCTTTATCGTGAAGTTGCCTTTCTTGGCCTGCTTTGCGTACGGCCGGAATGCAGCAAACTTGGCCCAATGCGACATGTCAATGCGATCGTTGGCGCCCCACGACTTGGGTTTGGTATTGAAACCGTACTTGGAGCCGATAATCTCGCCTTCAAAATACGTCGTCAATGTCGGGTGGTCCTCTGTAAGACCTATTGCACATGAGTGTTAGGACCCGGTTTGGAATAAAAGTAGGAATACGAAAGAAATAGGGTATGCTCACCTTGTATCCGCAAGTAGCCGCAGAGAAACGATTCGCGCAAGTCAACATGCTTGATCTCTACTTGTACATCGTAGACTTGCCGCTCTGATTGCTGGGTGCCGACAAAACGGCTACCGGGACGAAGGAACTTTGACGGCGCCGCAGGGATAAGCTAAATGGGAACGTTTGTGAGCGGTGGGATGACCGGGGCTGAAGAAAGTATGTGGGGGAAAAGAAAAGCATACTCTTGGATAGGTTGGATCGCAGCCAGCGTATGGAGACGCGAAGTCCGACCAGGCAGCCTCGACTTCAATGTCTTCATCCTCGGCCTTCTCGCCGTCCATGCCTACCGGAAACAACTCATCGTTGCGTCCGGCTGCCCGTCTGTTGTCACCGAACCGGGCCGCCTCGGCCTGTCTCCGCAAGGCATCATTTGTACCATATGGTTCCCAAACCTCCATCTCGGGGATCGAATACCGGGCAATCTCGTGGCTGCGGATGTGCACATCACTGAGACGGCTGGGACGGGGTATCATGTTGTGGCGGCTGTGCGAGTCACTGGTATCGCCTTGGTCATCGTGGCTGTCGCTATTGCTCGTGGTACCGGGGGTATGCATGTCCGGCATCTCTTCGTCTGTGTCTGATGGCTTGTCGGCTGGATCCACGGGGTCCGTCGGGCTGTCATGCCCTTCGCTTGCATTCAAGTATATCGATTCGGTCTCGGGGGCCGCCGGTCGATCGGTGCTTAGTGGGGGAACTGGCGACATGGTTGGTGGTGACGGTGCGGGCAAAGGCGACTGCTCGCCGTCAACTGCGGTCGGCGGCTGTGAATGACTGCTACCGCTACCGCTGGCGATTGCGATTTCGTGGTGCGAGTGACTAGTCTCTTCGTACGGGGACTGTGTTGGATGGAGCCAGCCAGATTGCGCACGAGGCGCCTGGTCATCTGGACATGAGGAGTTGAAGTTGACAGAATCGTTTTCGTCGCGGGAGGCTGGAGTCGGCATGGTTGGTGCGAGGATGGAGGAGAAACGTAGAGGTGGCAGCAGTGATCGTGGCGCGTATAGAAATGACGCACTGGAGATGAGAGGGACCGAGATCGGACAATCGCGAGGAAAAGCTACAAAGGTCGTCGTGCCCCTTTCCGTAGACTGTTCGTCGGCTTCGATACTGCCGTCGAATCTAGTGACGCACTTGGAGGTTCGAGCGGGCGAAATGGTGGCGATCAGCAGATGAGAAGCGTGTGTCAAGGTGCGCAAGTGCCACCGGGTAGCCTTGCGGAAGAATGCCAAAGGCGCAAAAGAGAACCAAAAAAGCAAAAAATCAGTCGATGCGGGCCGACGAAAACGATCGACACAACGAATTGACACGGTTGTACGTCGAGGCCCGTCGATACGGATCGGCCGTTGGTCACGGAGAGTTGAGAGAAAGAGACGTTGGCTGGAGACTGGAGACGAGAGGTTGGATGGGACTGATGGACAGTGTACGGGTCAGCGCCGTATTATCCACAGTGTCGCGAGAGGGGGCCGCCGGTCGTAGAAGTTCTGAACCCCGGATTTTGTGACTTTAAGGATGCAAAAGCCGATAAAAACGCAAAACGGAGACAAATGTAGATCGGCAGCGGCAGTAATGCGAAAGGTCGTTGAAAATGACACGGGCGGATGCGGTTGAGCGACGAAAGCGCACGGCTATGACGATGCGTCCGTGATACGAGTCCTGAATTTGGGCTGCAGCAACAGGATTTAGGAAGAGTCGGGTAGAGGCTAGGGATAATCGAGGCCGGAGGATGTCACGTCGCAGAAGGATATGCAAGTACATGCAAGACACGTCGTACAGTTTCCTATGAGTGCCGTCCTGTAAGGCAAAAAAGTCGTTCGGGGTTGAAGAGCGTTGGCAGCCGAAGGCGTGATTGAGAAGAAGATAGCGAGGCAAGGCGAGACCGCAACGACGAATGGTAGGGCACGTTGACTTTGCAGCCAAATGGCATTCAATGGCTGGGCGTGTGCTGTGAGTCTGTCGATATTTCGAGAAGGCGAAATGGGCGGAGGCACCAGGGCGAAAAGGACGCTAAAGATCACTAGAGAAAGCAAAAACCAACGAAATCGAGACGGTGGAGGTCTGGTTACAATGCGACGGCAAAAGGGCACGACCGGGCGCGAAAGAAGCCGCCCTAAGGATATGACAGTGGGAGAGCCGCAAGAGGACGAATAGGATCGCGATGATGCAGAAAAAGGAGACGAGAAAGAGACACATCAATTACGAGAGAAAGATGCAAGAACGAGCCAAAGAACATCAAATGCAGAAGGCACAAGTGCCACAATTGGGGAAGGTACAAAGAAACATGACGACTAGGGTCATTGGACCAGAGACTGGGAAAAAAGAGGGGCTATCGTGCCCTAGCAGGTGGCAGTTGATGGTTGGGATGCCGTCTCGCCGTCCCAGGGACTCAACGCATTGATTTGCAGGCCCAGCCGGGGGGGAGGAGCGGTCGCGGCGGAGTTGCCAACGCGGTATCTGATCCTGTTGGCCGTTTGCGCATAGAAATGCTGTGTGACTGTCACATTTTGACGCATTCATTTTCACATATTTGATGTTTTGTACAGAATATGATGAGCCCAATCGGCAGGAAACAATATCACAGAGTACCATGCGCCGTACGTATTTCGTATGTCACACTTGCAGGTAAGATACAGCTGTTTTGACCTGCCGTGGATATCGCCTCAGCCCAAACTGCCCTGGCCTTGTGGGCACTTTTTAGCGGCTGCTGGGTGCGATTGGGCCCGCCCAGCCAGGCCCAGACTCAAGGACCTCCACCAACGCGATGTCGACCAAACACACGGCTTGAATTCACCCAAACAAAAAAGGCATGGCAAAATCGAGAACAAAACATGACAACTGAGTATGCCTGGAGCCACAGCCATGGCTAGAAGAGGGGTTCATCGCTAGCACTCTAATTCCGAGGCTGATTGAATATGGCCGGCCCATGGCTCCGATTAAAACATATATGCGACTCGCGTTTTACGTCTACTTCACAACGGCTGTGACTGAAGAGAAGTGCGACGTATAATTGGATAAGTTTTGGTTTACGTCGCTCTCACCAGTTTACTACAAAAGCCCACCGGTCAAACCCTGTTCACATGTGCATGCACGTCGACGTCAAGGCCAGCGAGAGACATGCACCAGCTCTTGATCTCAGCCCGCATGCCCAAGTTAATATAACAAGTAATATCAGGCGGGCACTCGTCTCTGCGCTTGTGTCGATATTGCTCACAGGATGGCACAGGAAAGGGAGCACATGAGAGGCGTCAGACTACGCCGCACCGTTCCTTTTGCACTTGTCCTAAGCACCGACCTGGTTTTGCATTCCGGTCGACTCCGGCAATCAGTATTGCGTCACCCCCCTCTGCGTCATTTGAATGTCGTGAAATCTCGTTTATAAGTCATATATTATTCTAGATCGTTCACGTCGTGTGCCTAGGGAAGGGTTGTCTCTTGCACCCGTCTGGTTTTCCGTCGGCTTTTGCCGCATAGGTCATGAATGAGACGAGACACTGTAGGCACGACGTGCTTTATCGCTTATCCCCTTTCTCGGTTGTGCCGTATTATGAATGTCCCGTAAATGCATGTTTTGCATTCCTCTATCGTCCCAATACCCGATATGGAGGAGTGTCTGTCGCTTGCGCCGTTCTGCGCCGTTCTGCGCCGGTCGGGTATCAATTTCGTATTTGTTTTGTACGGGCGTCTGCCTGCCCTTTGGCGTCCGCTAGAAGCTCTCAAAAAGAGTGTCATTTAGATCGGCTTGATCTTGAAGTGCAAAGAGATCAAACTGAAGACCAGCGCCTTCAGATCCTGCACTAGGTAGTAGAAAACGCGGAGTCCCTCGGGATCCGATGATTCTGTCACGTCGACCAGTGACCCGATCTTGGCCGTCTCAAACGAGATGTGTTCGCTGCCGATCCGCAGCTCCAGCTCCTGCCGGCCGTCTTTGTTCTTCTGGGGCCATTTGGCATCGTCCTCCCTGTTTGCGTCACAGTTGTTAGACTCTAGGATGTAACGTTCGCTCACGTCAGTAGAGGGGAGAGACGGACTTCATGATCTCGCTGAGCTTGACAATTCGCTTGATCTCCTCGATCACAACCGAGCTGACATACACTGTGGTAAGACTGTTAGCTACAGCCACAAAGGTAGCAGGGTGGTGACAGAGAGCCAAACATACTCTCTTTCCGGATGAGGCTGTCGTTGCGGTAGTTGGAGTTATTGGCATAGCGCGCAATGGCGCTCCGCCCATCACCAACAACACGGAAATCGAACTCTAGAGCACGGTTAGCCAATGGCCTGTGAGACACACGCGCAGAGACGCAGTTGCAAACGTACCAAGGAACTCGTGGCCAAAGCGACCCGAGTGGCCGGAGCTGCAAACGAAATGTTAGTTTGGACCAAAAAGAGTTCGGGCGAACCCTCAGATATCGACCTACTAGTACCGCAGGTAGAACTGCTCATTTGTGGACGTCATCGTGGCTGCTGTCGTACGATGGCGAAGGTAGCAACAGATGCAAGCCCCAAACACGAAGCTTTTCGCGTCGTCGACGAAGCACAGTGTGGGCAATGAACTCTTAGCTGCAAAGCCAACTCTCTCCAACGTGCGAATTGAGGGCTGGCGTCGCGCAACGGCCCATATTTCACGTGACATTACTCGCACCCGGCTCGTTTCTGCCACCTGGCCCGCAGCTCACCGCCTTAGCTTGTAAGCCCCCACAGCAGGCACAAGCCAGCAAAGGGGGGTTCAAGGGCCACAATTGGCAAGGGCCAATTTGGCACGCTGTTCTTTGGGAAATAGGGAGAAGGTGGACACGACCAGAGAGCAACGAACCTCTCTGCCTCACACAACCTGCAACGTCACCCCGTTCGCGCCCGTCTTCCATCACCCACGCCGCACCTTTGGTTCGCGACACCTCTCTCCAAGCTGCGGCATACCGTTGACAGTCAATCCCCCCAGGAGCGCGTGTTTGTGCGAGCACCGCTTCCCCCGCCCCTTTTCAACCCGCCACTTTGCCAAAACCACGGAAAGCGACCTCGCATTGGGCTTTCACCGTCCACCGTCTTTTTGGCCCTTCCCCCTCCTCCCCTGTCTCCTAATCTAGTTCCCGATCGACCTTGGACATTGCACCACGATACTCTCGCTGTCTCGGACCTGCCGCCATCATGTCTGCGTTTCTCGATGGGGCGTACAGCCTGATCCACCAGGACAATGCGGCCGACGTCCCTACCCTCAACGACCTCAAGAACCAGCTCGAGAAGGGCAACGATGAGTCCAAGTTGGACACCATGCGCCGCATCCTGGTCATCATGCTCAACGGCGACCCGCTGCCGGGCATCCTGATGCACATCATCCGCTTCGTCATGCCGTCCAAGTCCAAGCCGTTGAAGAAGCTGCTCTACTTCTACTACGAGATCTGCCCCAAGCTCGACGCTGCTGGCAAGCTGAAGCAGGAGATGATCCTTGTCTGCAACGGCATACGCAACGACCTGCAGCACCCCAACGAGTACATTCGTGGCAACACACTGCGTTTTCTCTGCAAGCTCCGCGAGGCCGAGCTGATTGAGCCCCTCCTGTCGTCGGCGCGCTCGTGCCTCGAGCACCGCCACGCGTACGTGCGCAAGAACGCTGTCTTTGCCATTGCCTCTATCTTCCAGCACTCGCCGGCCCTGATCCCCGACGCGGCCGAGCTCCTGGCGACGTTTATCGAGACCGAGACCGACCCCACCTGCAAGCGCAATGGCTTTGCCTCGCTGGCCAGCATCAGCCACGAGGCTGCCTTGACATACCTCACAAGCGTGTTCGATAGCGTGCCGAACGCAGAGGAGCTCTTGCAGCTTGCCGAGATTGAGTTTATCCGCAAGGATGCTGTCCAGAACAGTCACAACAAGGCACGTAACCGCCTTGACCGAGCCTTTACGCGAGGCATGTGCGCATACTAACCCCAATCTCTTGCAGGCCCGGTATCTGAGACTCATTTTCGACCTTCTCGAAGCCAACACGTCCACCGTCGTGTACGAAGCTGCGTCGTCTCTGACGGCCCTGACCAGCAACCCCGTCGCCGTCAAGGCTGCCGCTGGCAAGTTCATCGAGCTGAGCATCAAGGAGGCCGACAACAACGTCAAGCTTATCGTCCTCGACCGCGTTGACCAGCTGCGGAAAAAGAACCCGGGCGTCCTCGACGACCTGGTCATGGAGGTTCTCCGGGTGCTGCCCAGCCCAGACATTGATGTTCGGCGGAAGGCCCTCGACATTGGCCTGGAGATGGTCTCGAGCAAGAACGTCGAGGAGGTTGTCCTGCTCCTCAAGAAGGAGCTGTCCAAGACGGTGGACCAGGACTACGAGAAGAACGCCGAGTACCGCCAGCTCCTCATCCACAGCATTCACCAATGCGCCATCAAGTTCTCGGAAGTGGCCGCCAGCGTGGTTGACCTGCTCATGGACTTTGTTGCCGACTTCAACAACGCCTCTGCCGTCGACGTCATCAACTTTGTCAAGGAGGTCGTCGAGAAGTTCCCCAAGCTGCGCGCTACCATTGTACAGAAGCTCTTCGAGACCCTGAACGAGGTGCGCGCGGGAAAGGTGTACCGTGGCATCCTCTGGATCATCGGCGAATACTCAGTGGACGAGAACGACATTCGCGAGGCGTGGAAGCGCATCCGCGCTAGCCTCGGCGAGATCCCCATCCTGGCGTCCGAACAGAGACTCCTGGACCAGGGCGAGCCGGATGAGGAGACCAAGGAGGTCAACGGCAACGGCAAGCCGGCTGCCCCGACGGGCTCCAGACGCGTGCTCGCTGACGGTACCTACGCCACCGAGACTGCGTTTACGAGCCAGACCTCGGCCGCTGCGGCTCGTCTAGAGGCCGTCAAGGCTGCTCAGAAGCCGCCTTTGCGCCAGCTGATCCTCGACGGCGACTACTACCTCGCCACTGTCTTGTCCGCGACACTGACCAAGCTGGTGATGCGCCACTCGGAGATTTCGCCCGACAAAGCCCGCACCAACGCGCTGCGCGCTGAGGCTATGCTGATTATGATTTCGATTGTGCGTGTCGGTCAGTCCCAATTCGTCAAGGCGCCAATCGACGAGGACTCGGTGGACCGCATCATGACGTCGGTGCGTAGTCTGGCCGAGTTCAGCGAGCACAAGGAGCTCGAGACCGTGTTCCTGGACGACACGCGGAAGGCGTTCCGCAACATGGTGGTCGCCGAGGAGAAGAAGCGCGCCGCCCAGCTTGCCGACGAGAAGGCCAAGACGGCCATCCAGGTCGACGATGTGGTGTCGATCCGCCAGCTCAGCAAGAAGAACACGCTGGACAGCACGGACCTGGTGGAGGCCGACCTGGACCGGGCGACGGGCGGCGACGCGAGCGGCGCCGAGGACCTGTCGAGCAAGTTGTCGCGCGTTGTGCAGCTGACGGGTTTCTCGGACCCTGTGTACGTCGAGGCGTACGTCAAGGTGCACCAGTTCGACATTGTGCTGGACGTGCTGCTGGTGAACCAGACGACGGAGACGCTGCAGAACCTGTCGGTGGAGTTTGCCACGCTGGGCGACCTCAAGGTCGTGGAGCGGCCGACGACGCAGAACCTGGCGCCGCACGACTTCCACAATGTGCAGTGCACGATCAAGGTGTCGAGCACGGACACGGGCGTCATCTTTGGCAACGTGGTGTACGACGGCGCCCACTCGACGGACACCAACGTGGTGATTCTGAACGACCTGCACGTGGACATCATGGACTACATTGTGCCGGCAACGTGCACGGAGACGCAGTTCCGGTCGATGTGGACCGAGTTCGAGTGGGAGAACAAGGTGAACATCAACAGCAAGGCGCCGACGCTGCGCGCCTTCCTCGAGGGCCTGATGAAGGCGACGAACATGAACTGCTTGACGCCCGAGGCGGCCATGAAGGGCGACTGCCAGTTCCTCAGCGCCAACCTCTACGCACGCAGCGTGTTTGGTACGTTACATGTCGCTGCACTTTTGTTTGTTGAAAATGCCCCTACTAACCATCTGCAGGCGAGGACGCTCTGGCCAACTTGAGCATTGAGAAGGAGGGCGAGGACGGCCCGATCACGGGCTTTGTGCGGATACGCAGCAGATCGCAAGGCCTGGCCCTCAGCCTGGGCTCGCTGAAGGGCCTCAGCAAGATTGGCGTCGCGGCTTAAAACGGAAAAAGGGCGCTCTCGTTTCATTTTTGTTCTTGGTCGGCCGTCTTTCTAATTATTGAATCTGACGTTGTTCACAACCCTGCTGCTACTTTGCTACAGCTGCTGGTGATGGTTGTTGATGATGGTGTCTTCCTTATCTTTGCCTGTTTGTGTCATTGTTAGGGACGTGTTTCTAGCTCCATTTTTCTTATATTATTATTTGTCTCTCTCTCCTTACTTTAACCTTTCCGGTTTCGTTTATTATATGCTGTCGGAAAGAACCAAAAAAAGTGGGCATGTTTTACACGATGGGATGAAGACGCTTTGATGTTTGGCAACATAAACAAGTTAAAATTACCTGGGTAGAAGGCAAGGAATATACAAAAATACACCGATTTGGCAGAGATCGTGATCAAATTTCATTAATGCAGGTTTTGTCATGGAATATATTGCATTCGGGCCACTGATTTCTGGGTATATGTGAGAGAGAAATATGGTACTGACGTTATCGACAAACTGCGCAAAAAAAAATGCGATTACATTTAGACCAAATTTGGTACATAGTGCAAAACAGTACGTAGCCGCCCTATTTGCGGTTGGATACGACCAGTGGCATCCTCGTCATGGAGTAGATGATTAGAAAGCGATTGGATATAACAAAAACTGTGTAAATGGAAACGAAAATGATGAACAGGACATGGGGTATTTTGGTAGCGAAAATGCAGAATACAGACAGACGTAGGAAGATATTGTGCAGCCAAAAGTGAACAAGAAACGTGTGAGGCGAGTGACATGGAATCGTAGATGGCCACTGCCCTTTATGTCGCCCCGAAAACAAGGGCATTGACGATATGGCCCTCTTTCCAGCCCTGGGCCTGGAGCGAGGTGCCGTCCTTGAGAATCTTGCCGAGGTAGGCGATGCGGACACGAGCATCGTGCGGGAGCTTGGCCTTTTCAGAGATGCGGTGGGCCACGCTGCGGACGGGCTCCTCGCGACCGAGCGAGACGATGACGTCGCGGGAGGTGACACTGAGGCGAGCGCGGACGGTAAACTGGTTGGCAGCGGCGGCGATGTTGACGACTTCCTTTCCTTTTTCTTCGCGGCGGCGGCGGCGGCGGTGGGGGTTTGTCGGCGAGGCTGTCGCCGTATCGAGGCGGTGCCGGGCTTCGTCACCACACGTATCTTCGTCATCGTCATCGTCATCGCCATCGCCTTCTCCTTCGTTGTCATAGTCAGAATCCTCCGACAGGTTGGCCTCGCTGCCCGGGTCATCGAGGGCCGCGCCCTTGGTCTCATCGACGTCGGAGTCGTTGTGCTCTGGGTCGCTGGCCAAGTTGGTGGGGTCAGAGACGATCCACGCCGGCAGGGCATAAAAGTTACCAAAGGCATCGTATGCACCCTGGGCCATGTCACCGGTGGGCAGGGTAATGTCGGCGGCATCGAGGATAGTCTGGGCGGTGGTGCGAGCTTCCGTAGCTTCAGAAGATGCCGTGGAGCCTGCGCTTTTTGTGGGTGATGTAGGTGACGTGGGTGACGTGGGTGACGCTAGAGAGGCGGTGGTGGCTGCTTGAGACTCGGTCTCGGTACCAGCATGGGCATTCCTTGCTGCATCGACGACGTCGGCCTCCCACATAATCTCAAGGGCGGCACGTAGGGTCTGCCAGATCTCGGCGCGGCCTGTAACGCGGGTATCAAAGAAGTCGGTGCGTTCGCGGTCGATGGCGCTCCGGGTCCATACGCGGTTCCGGGAGGTCCAGCGGCGCCGTTTTATTGGTTTGTTGATATGTTTGGACAGCTCCTGTGCGGGCAGCCGCTGTTGTGTCGAGGAAGAGGAGGTGCCAGAAGCGGCGGCTGCTCGTAGCTGTCGGCTGCCACCGGTCGGGGGCGTCGAGGAGGAGGAAGAGAGACCGCCGGCATCTATGCCGTCGCGGTCGCCGCCACTGCGTGCACCAGCACAAGCGCCGGCCACACCAGCGCTCCTTGCCAGAGAAGCGGCGGCGGCCGACGTAGCCGAACCAGCGCCAGAAGCTTGGACATTGATGGCGCGGCCAGAGCCAGTAGGTGCACCGCCGGGATAGGGCGAGTTAGGGCCATCGGGGCGGGAGAAACAGCAGCCCTGGTGATGTGTTAGCAAGCTCTGGGATGGAGGGAACGCAATGTGGAGGAAGAGGGAGAGCTCACCATATTGACTGTTGTCCGATGGTAGTTGTATCTAATGTTCGCACAAGACCATGGTCACCCGAAAAAAACGGTCGAGGCTGAAAGGGTAAAGGAGAAGACGCGAGGTGGACGAAGAGAGGAGGCGACGTAGGAACGGACAGAAGCGGAGGGGCAACAGACGATAAAACGAAACAAGGACAGAAGGCCCGCGGAACGCAACGGCGGCTCTGGCAGGGCGATCGCGAGATGCGCAGATACGGTATGTAAGGGGTAGAACTGGTTGAGAATATAGGGCCCGGAAGGGGACAGGAGACAAAATTGACAAAGAGCAACTAGACGGCGACCAAAAGTGCGGAGACGGCAAGAGCGCGCAAGGACGGCGCAACGGTAGGTGCAGCCTCGTGGAAACGGGTCGTAGACCACAGGTGATCAAGACCCTTATTGTCGGCCAAGGACTCTGTGCCAAAACAGAATCAACGAGAGGGGTAGAAATGGTCCCCTGGTGCGCACGTCCGAGACAAAGCCATTGCTGGAGAGAATGAAGAGCCAGACGATGTAGACGAGCGGAGAAGTTGGCGTATTGCAGATGGGCGGTGCTAAACGACGCCTGAAGGCCAGGCTGGGTTTAGCGACATGACGAAAAGTGGAGTGCTTTTGCTCGAAAATGGCCAGACGTCACCACGTGGACCGAGCTTTTTATTGGAGAGCTGAGGGGAGGGGGGCAGGTTGCGCTAGCGTGTTGCGACACCCGCCTGTTACCACTGCAGCTGTGCCGATTGACGGCTGAAGGCTTGCAGTAATTGCATGCGCTGTGCGATGCTTTTGGTGGCCGCTACTGGGCACTGAATCCGCTGCACGTTGGATCCCATGATCAGCCTCGCATGGAGCTGACTTCTATTTTTATTGATTTGGAAGCACTTCCAACGCGGGCCGCGAACATCCGGCTGACTACACCCTCGCGTTCGTATCGATTCTTGAATACAAATATTTATTTTCCTGCTGTTATGTGCTTTCTCGACGAAGCGTAGTATTTCCTGTCATAATGTCGTGAGGCAGATGCGTATCATACATACTGTCAAGATCAAACGCTTGATGACCGTCCTCGTAAACCGTTCTCCTCTTTGCTTGTCACTGCGTCTTTACCACAGAAATTTACGGCAGTTGGGACTCTTGCACAGACACGGTGTCATGCCGGCAACGTGGTGCCGCGCGTCCGACGCCAGATCCACGATGCCATCGACGTAATCAAATGTCAGCTCGTCACCAGCAGCAATGTCGCTCACCGCAAAGAACGCCAGGTCGTGTATGTGCTTGTCCGCGTGGTCGCCGACGCGTGCAAAGATGCGCAGGTTGGGGCTGCACGAGTGGTTGATGAACCGCGTCGGGCCTGCACGGAACTCGCCGTCGCATTCGAGCGGCGGACCGGCCAGGCGGCTGTCGAGCGAGTTGGCGTCCGAAAACTTGTCGAGGGCGAACAAGTACACGTCTTTGCGGCGGGCCATTGTGGCTGCCGAGCGACGGAGGTTGGCCTCCCGCGCTGTCAGGATCTCACCGAGGTAGCGGTCGACAAACTGGCCCTTTCGAAGGTCGACGAGCGTACGGACACCCCAGCCTCGGTCTTCGGTACGGAAGATTTGGAGCGGGATGCGACGGCCGCGCTCGACGACACGGTTGGCACAGGTCGTGTCGTCCGACACGTCTGCCCCAATACCGCCCGCCTCTGTGCTCGTGCTCGCCGCACACGCACACCCTTCGTGGCACTCGTAGATGGGCTCTCGGCTGTCGAGGTAGCGGCTGCGCAGGAGTCCCGCCTTGTCGCCCTGGCTGTGGTAGGCAAACTTGACACGTCGCTGCTTTCCTATTACGGACTTGGCAGGCCGGCCAACCTTGTTGCCGCTGGCCCTTGTTTCTGTTTCGCTGTTACTATCGTCGCTTGTCGGCTCTTCTTCCCAGAGCATGTCCGACAGACATTCACAGCCGTCGTAACGGCACGCTCGCGCATCCGTGCAGCTGCACCCGCTGCGGAAACTCGCCTCGGCCGCACGTACACCCTGCGTCAAGATCGACTCTGTGATAAATTTAAAGTCCTTGGGCAGTGCCGCACCATCGCCGGTCTTGTTGACGATGGTGACCGGGTACTGGCGATGTGTAGGAAACGCCCGTAACTGGCACCAGTGGCAACCGTCTATAATAGCCGGCGGTGGAGGTCCCTGTCAGGTCAGTCTTTGTTCTTTGCTCTCTACTTCACTAGATTCCGGCATTCGGTGGCCTTGACGTACCGCCTTCCAGTTGTGATTGAAAAAATGCTCTCGGTATGACTCGCGGTCGCCCATATTTAACGTGCTATAAGGGTGGATGGATGTGAGGCGTGTGTTGGAGGTTAGGATGAGTTGTTCAGTGTTGTTATGAAGGTGGTGATGAGTAGCTGCAGCTTTACGCACGCGTGTCGACGTCAACGCGATGGGGCGTGTATGACGATGAGGAGCTTGGTGAGAGCTCTACGGCGAACAGTGGCAGTTGTGAGTTCCGGATTAAAGTGGAGCCTTCAACTTTGGCAACTCAGCGGTGGAAAACCAGCATAGTAAACAGCGGTGGCGATGCCGCCCAACAGCCGCCTTCTTAATCAATACTTTTCTTATATTTACTTATTCTCAAAATAACCAAGCCTCGTAGCCTTGTCAGTTCATACGACACACAATGCACTACCGTATGCACAATACCGACGGACTGCCTATCCGCGTGCTCTGATAACGATGTAACGGAGATGGCCGGAGTTGTGTGGGCTGCTGTCTTGATAAAGCTATCTGTGGGTGGGAACGACCAGTGTAAGTAACCGAATTGGGTTGCGAGCTTGTTTGTCTTGATGAACTTTACTTTTCGTGGCTCTATTTGAACTTATTTTGTCGTCTGGTTATTGATTTTACTTCAGCGAGATTCCGTACACTACACCAGCATGGCTCCGTCTGCTGTCGAAACGAATGGCACATCGTCCAAAACGGAGGGTTCAGTTTCTGCTGCTGACGTTTCCGGCGACCCAACTCTTGCGCACGTCAATGAGGAGTATGGCCGTCCACCGGTATTCGCAGACCCGCTCAAGTACCGTTCTTGGCTCAAGCACCGCCTTGCATTGGCCTTCCGCATCTTTGCGAAGCACGGCTTCATGGAGGGCATCGCCGGACACATCACGGTGCGCGACCCCGTCGACCCGTCCAGCTTCTGGGTCAACCCGTTTGGCACGCACTTTGCCCTAATCACAGACGACGACCTATTGCGGGTTAGCCATGATGGACAGGTGCTCGAGGGCGGGCCCAACAAGATGCTCAACTACGCCGCGTTTGCCATCCACTCGGAGATCCACAAGGCACGGCCGGACGTACAGTGCGCGGCACACTCGCACTCGCTGTACGGCCGCGCCATGTGTGCTACCGGGCGCACACTCGACATGCTGACGCAAGACTTTTGCATCTTTTACGACGACCACGTGGTCTACCCCAACTTTGCGGGTGTTGTGCTGGCGGCGGACGAGGGCCGGCGTATTGCAGAGGTCTTGGGTTCCCGCAAAGCCGCCTTTCTCGGCAACCATGGCATCCTGACGGCGGGTGCGTCGATCGAGGCGGCGGTCAACTGGTTCGTCCTCTTGGAAAAATGCAGCCAGGTGCAGATGATTGCGGAGGCGGCCGTTGGTGGTAGACGGAATGAACTGACCACAATCGGTCCCGAGGAGTCGCTCAACTCCTGGAAGGCGATCGGCACATCCGATGCAGGGTACTTTGGTGGGCTGCCACTCTTCCAAATGGCGGAGAAGGAGTTTGGCGAGAGCACGTTTCTGGGACGGGGAGTGTGAACGTGCAAGTGTAGCTAATCTGAGCTGACAGGAAAACATACAGCTTTCGCTCCACAAAAGTCTCCGTATATTATGCATACAGCACGTATGTTTTGAATTGCGCCTAGAGCGGTCAGACAACGGACGAGATATATTTTTGCGGTTGTCTTTCTGGATATGTGCTGGGATGCGGAGCACATCACCGCTATGATGAACGTGATGCACATACGTAGATCCTCCCTGGTCGATCCTTCTGGGATGAGAGGTCCTGCCAGCGGTACCGACCTTATCCTGAGCTTTTCGTGAGGGTGATAGACGGGGTGTTGTATGTTTGCCTCTTGGCGTGCGACCGCGGGTTCAAACGCATCACATGTTCCCATCTTGGATCACGAACAGAAAAGAAACCAGGAAAACCCGCAAAACGACCTCGAACGACAAGCCTGAACCTGGTTGTGGCTGTGTTCGCGGGATGTTCGCGGCAAGGAAGCACAGACAGAGCATTACGGAGTATTAGTGCGGCCTGCATGTTTTTTGTTTGATTGTAGAGGGAACAACGGCACCAATGTGTCAAAATGTTACACTTTGTACATACCTCATACGCGTTCCGTGTCCTCTCCTCTATGGAGGATTAGTGCACAGATACACACCACTGGTCGAACACAGAGTATCCGAAGAGGCATTGGCTCATTGGGTAGCACTGGGACCTGATGGGCATTTCCTCCGACTCCGAGCAGATTGTTTGGGATCGCCACACGCAGCCTAATCTGGCTTGCGTTTCTGATTCTTTCTTGCCTCTGTTGCCTGCGTTCTTTTACGATTACTTTCGTTAAAGAAAAATCAAAGAAAAACGAGAGCGGCTAGTCTACGCCAGCGGGTTGATTTTCTTCTATTTCTCGTTCTCGTGCATTTTGTCAAGGTTTGTGGACGATGTAGGATTGAGTGAGGGGTGGTGAAGATGCAGGGGGGAGGATGCGAAACTGAAACGGATTCCGCCTTAGATGACGGATAACGACGACAGTGCGGTTTGCAGAACGTGCAGTTAGAGAACGGATGCGACCTGATAAGAAGGCCGAAGGTTGAAAACGTAGCAAGCGCCTCGAATAAGATATGAAGAAATGGTGAAGAAATTAGAGAACCGACTCAACCGACAACATCACATACATTTGTTGGCACCCATGTTGGTCTAGTCTGGCCCCGCCTCCAAGTACCAACAGTACCTGTTTCATCGACGACCGGGGATATTTTGAGCGATCCGTGATCGGTAAGTGGCGGACATGATTTTCTCTTGTCCCTCTCAGGATGAACAATCTCCTTCTTTTTGTGCCATTTTTAAGCGCTCGTCGTATCTTTGATAGACTGGATGCTCCTTCCATTTGCGCTGAACGCGGTCTTGTCGCTCACATTCCTAAAGCAAAAAGAGCCCACTTACAAGCCTTACTGCGAGAAAAGCTATTCTACACAAGCAGACGATTGACAATGCGTCCCATTTTCATCTAGAGTCAATGATGGTAAAGGTAAATGCAGAAAATAAGAATCCTGATTCGTTGTCGATTGTCGTTTGCTCCGTCCTGTGTTGTGCTGCGGCCTACATTTTTTTTTTTTGTTTCCTAGTAATTGTAAGCCACGAGGCGCACTTCCTTCCTTTTCTATGCACCTTCCCAGCCCTGCTGCTCTGCTCCTTTGCTCCTTCCGTGCAGGAACAGCCTCAGCCGGCAACCGGCTCCTGCCTGTCAAGATAAAGCGCTGCCAAGATGTCACCAGTGTAGCATCTGAGGCTCGTTTTCTCTACGATACTTGCTTTTTACCACTCTACGATGCCCTTTAAAGCCTCAGCCGCTGCACCTTTCCTGCTGACACCCCACGTCTCCCCTGCTGTCAGTCGAGACACATACATGCCTTCCCTTGTCTCGGGTCCTGGGTTGCATTTTGGCCACCCTCGCCTGTGGCTTTCCCCTTCCCATCCTTTTGCATCCCGGCGACTTGCGAGTTTTCTGTCCACCCTCGTCATATATTTGCACATCCTCTGTGCTGTTTCCGGGTCTGTGCCTGAATCTTACCGCATGTGTCTGCCTCTCACTGCCCACTTCAAAGTTACCCATTACCATCATCTAGTGTGGATGGTGGTCTGAGATTCGGCATGTTTCCTTTTTTTTGCTTTCTTTGTCATGGAAAGCTCGATGGTGACTTGGACCAGATACAGGGCTTGTCTGCTGAGCCTGTCTTTTGGCCTGTTCGTCTAGGCCAGCCCGGCCCCGGTCTGCCACAGACACACACCTCGATGCTATCTGGGTGGTTCTCTGACACGATCCTAGACAGGGGAGGGGAACTCTATTCCCCTCACTCCTTGCTCGTACAATCGGGGAGCTGTTACCCACGATGTCCCCGTCTTGTGTCTCATTCTGAGGTTTTCCTATGGGACTGTCATTGTCCACTCTCCATATACCACCTTGATACCCTCTTTCTTTTTCCTCCCCTCTCTTCTCATTGCTTTCTCTCATTTTTTGCGTACATCACCAGCATATGCACATACATCATCGCAACAATATCACTCCCATGGCGTGCGTCGGCGCCGCACCGTCGTCCCCTCTTCCACCATCCTCACCATGAGCGCAGACTTGCACGGCGGCACCGCCCCGCTGGCGGCGCTAACTACCGTCTTCACACCTCCCTGTCCGACGTCGTGGCTGGTGACGACGACCAAACTGCCGTCTCAGTTCCCTTCTTTCCCTTCTGCCAACGTTGCGGTACCAACGTGCGACCCACCGGGGTGGGCTGGCAACCTGGCCGGCGAGGGCTTTCAGTACTACTCGCCGGCTATCTGCCCAGACGGCTTTGAAGTTGGAGACGAGTGCATTCTGACGGGCACGCCACGAACAACTGAGGGGTTTCCCGCCGTGGCTCCCGGTGAGACTGTGGCATGGTGTGTGCCGAGCGGACAGACGTGCACATCGGACACAACCGACTTCCGGGGCGGTGTTTGGGGTGTATTGCAGACGAGCACGGGTGCCGGTGCCACTATCACAGTTGGGCCGGCCATTCAGATCCGGTTTCGTGACGTCGACCTGTCCATACTGGCAACGCACCCACTGACGCCGGGCCGGATACTACCAGGAGGCAAACCTTTAACGCAATCGACACGGCCTCCTTCACCGACACCACCACCGACCAAACAGACACCGGACGCATTCACCAGTTCTTCAGAAACTGCGCAGAACACACAACTGTCATCGTCACCGTCTTCATCGTCGTCGTCACCATCAACAACATCTACAGCAACAAGTGACGGCACTGCCGTCGGGTTTATGACGGTCATAGGAAAATCCACGACTGCGTCACTATCGTCCGCACCAGAACCAGTCACCAGTACTGTCCAAGTCGTATCGCATGGGTTGACGTTCAAATCGACTGTAGTGACGTCTCCAACGCCGTCCGTTGACAACGGAGGCGACGGTGGTGACGATTCTACTGGCGCCACTGCCACCAACAGCACCAGCAATGCATTGGCCAGCAAAACCCCTACAAGTGCCTTTACAGCCACCATCGTCATGGCGGTGATATTGAGTGTCGCCGCTGCTGCCATTGCGTGTTTCTTCCTTCTGTCAAGACGGCGCAACCTTCGACAACAACAGAAGCCGAGCGAGCAAGGGCGTGGCTTACCAAACACCGAGCCCCCAGTACACGATGGCAATTCTTCTCTTGGGTGGTCGTCCGTTGGTGTCGGCGCCTGGGTCCATCGGAGACGACCTCGCTGGCAGGCTGGTTGGCGCCGGCTACGAGCATGGTGGAGTAGTCTACCCCGTCTGCCTTGGCAGCGGCGGAGTACCCATACGGGCGACAACCGGAGATGGGCTAGGTGGCGCCGTCCAGTACCACGGCGACATAATCAAAACGCGGAAGACAGGGAACCTGGCCGGGCACGCACGCCTATGGCAGAGTTACCGACCTCGGAGCGTGTGGTGGCCGACTATGCCGAACTGGAGGGCTCCCCAGTACCCCAGAGACAGGTGTCATACAATGACAATGACGATGACGCCGACTCATACATGAGCATCCAAAAGTTCAAGGGCATTCCTGCCAGACGCATGAATGCCCACAGCCCGACCCGTGCCAATCGTCTTAGTTGGATGTCCCGCTTGTCACGGTACATGCGAGGACGGTCGTCGACGGGAGGCGGGGACGGCCGGGACACGCCTGCAAGTCGTGGCACCAGCGTCTACGATGACGCCGCTACGGTGGCTGACCGAAGCATTCTAAGCCGTGCATCCACACGGTCGTCTCACTGGACGCGCTCGGGCGAGGTGGACGACAGTCCGTTTGGGACCATGGACAGCAACGATGTTGACGAGAGCAGCTGGGAGGTCTTCTCGCGATCACGCGAAGGACTCGGCCGGTTGCTGCAGGTGAAAAAGAGTGCTGGAAGCCCCATGCCTGTCCCGTTTGGCGCCCGTCGCGGTCACCAGCGTGGCCTGAGTGCGCCGACCAACAGTACCGCAAAGGGCCTCCCTCGATTGCCCTCGCCAGCAATTACTGTGCGAAGTGACCGAACTGGGACGCCGGTCCCGGGATGGCTGGGCGGTGCCAATGGCGCCAACACCGACCGCTTCTCACGGCTGAGCAGCGGCACGTTTGGGCGCATGGACAGCTTTATCAGCCGAGACGGCAGTCGAATTGGAGACGTGCCGGGAGTCGGTGCAGGAGGAGCACAATATACTGAAGCGAATCCATAGAAGGAGAATTCGTGTAGCATATTATGATATGCGAGAGAAAGTACAAAATACCCCTTAATGAGAAATGGCTCAAGGATACAAATAAATTCGGAAGCAAATAGCACTGTCAAGACATTGCGCAGCGACACAAAGGTTCATAAATTTTAATGTAGATGTCGAAACTCGTGCGAATGTATGACCAGAGCTTGGCGAGATGACAGAGGCAAACGCCACACGACACCACACGATCTTCTAGAATCGTGTGGTATGATAGTACAAATGTATACCACCAAGGAAATGATCACCGTTGGGGATGTGCGATGGATGGGCGCACTGGCTGAGACATTTTCGCGTGGGTTTGGTACACGTGGTAAGGTCAGGTGAAAAGGAAGTAAACAAGTTGAAAGTTGAATGACCGTATTTTATTGGGGCTTTTTTTTTGCTCTTTGCAACTATGGCTCAACTATGGGTTGTGTACGACGCCCGTCCCATTCCAAACTTTGGCGATCATAATCATGCTACTAATTGTTGTGGATGTGTCTTTCAAATAAACTTTTTCAAAAATGATAAGAAAAATGTGTGACACAAATATGAAAACTTATGAGAATAAACATGCTAAAGTAAACATACCGAGTATGCCCTGGACTTCTAATCGTGTCCGGAAAAGAGCAAGAAGATGTTGAGAATAGAATGAAAAAGGAAGACGCTGGTATCACAAAAACGAAAACGAAAAGAAAACTCGGCATACGAAGAGAAGCGAAAAATGAAAGGAAAAGAAAGGTGAGTAAAATCAACACAGACAGAAGGAATAGGAAGACACAAGGCACATGGGACATAAACACCAGAGGAATATGTTCTCGGACAGATTGCTTGTCCTCTCGTCATGACCTCATCCAATACCTCCGTCGTCTCCTTTTCTGCTTGCTCCTTCGCGTCATAGCATCATGTTTCAGCCACGGTTGGCGTACGCCTCGTGGCGCCTGTGCTCAGGCCCTTTTCAACATCGACCTCCTGCTCGGGCGAAGAAGGAGACGATGAGGACCTGGTGGCAACCTCAACGCGCAATGGTTGGGCGGGCGGCTTCCCGTTGCTGCCAATCACACCCGAACTACGGAAGGCGACGAGCACGACCAGGAACGAGCACACGCCGAGGGCAAAGTTGAACCAGTTGGCGGCGCGCAGGCCGCGCAGTGTGGGCTCGTCGTCGACTTTGGTGCCGCCGACGTTGGCCACCGAGACGCCGCGGGCCGAGGCCATGACGGCCGTTTGGATGGCGGTGGCAATGGCGAGGCCGATGGCGCGGCCAACCTGGCCGGCCATGTTGATGAGGGCGCCGCCGAGGGCCTGGTCTTCGCGAGGCAGGGCGTGAGACACAAAGAGCGTGAGACTGGGCCAGGCCGTGTCGGCACCCATCACCGACAGCACCATGGCCTCGAGGCCGTAGGCGAAATACGACGTCGTGCGGAACGGAATGGGAACCGCCAGGAGAAGACTGCTAATGCTCACGCTGGCGTTGCCAAACAACAGGATCCAATACGTCGGGACGCGGCCGAGGAGCGGGGCGACGCAGAAGCAGGTGATGATGCCGGCGATGCCCGTCGGAATAAAACGGAGGGTGGTCTGGATGGCGCTGAGGCCGAGGTAGTCTTGAAAAAGATAGGTCGCGTAGACGAGGTAGCCCATGAAGGAACTGAAAAACAAGCCCATGATGACGAGCGACGTGGCAAAGAGGCCACCGCCCGCCGAGCGCGAGAAGATGGACATGCGCACGAGGGGCCGCGGCGGCCAGGCGTGGCCGGCGATCTGCTTGCGGACGTTGCTGGGCGTCTCGAGCCACATTTGCCAGCCCACAAAGGCAGCCACAAGCAGCAAGGAGAGGCCAATGATGACACCGATCCAGGGGGTGGACCAGCCGACGACGTTGCCCTCGGTGAGAGCAAACAAAAGACCAACGAGACCGAGCGTGACAAGGAAGGCGCCAAACCAGTCAATGCTGCGGAAGGTGGCAGGGACGGGTACGGCGGAAAGCGCGACCGACGGGGACGTGGAGTCGTTGGCATCGGCAGTGGCAGGCGCAGTCGCGGTGGCATCGACGGCCCGAACCGGAATGACCGTCTGCGGCGGCGGCTGGGCGGGAATGATCAAGTAGCCAACAACCGTGACGATGCCCGAGAGGATGGCCAGGGCACCAAACACCCACTTCCAGTTGGCGTACGAGGTGATGAGGCCCGCCATGAGGTTGCCAAAGACGGATCCGAGCGGGGCACCGGCACCGTACGCAGCAAAGGCATAGTTCTTGGCCTTGCCGGGCGGGAACGTCGTGCCCAAAATGCCAATGGCGGTCGGCACGTTGGCGGCGGCGCCCAGTCCTTGCAAGCCTCGGAAGAGGTTGAAGACGATCTCATTGGGGATAAAGGGGTTGGCAACGGTGGTGGCCGTGACCCAGGCCGAGCCGGCGACGAAGATGGCCTTCTTGCCAAAGACGTCGGCGATGCGGCCCCACAGCAGCAGAAAACAGCCAAACGCCAACGAGTAGGCCGAGACAATCCACTGCAGACGGGTGTCGGGGATGTTGAGGTCGCGGCCGACGCTGGGCAGGATGATGACGACGGACTGGACAGAGAGCGTGTTGCTAAAGGTGGCGCCGGTGACGGTGGCGACGAGTGCGATGCAGCGCCACTTGGAGTAGGGCAGCTTCTCGGCGTCGTTGTAGCCGTCCATGGCGGCGTCGTCGTCGTCGTCGTCGTCGCCGCCGTCGTCGTCCCCGCCATGGTCGGCGTGGCCGTCGGCAAACTCGACGGGGGTGTCGTGGGATATTGGCGGGTTGCAGTGCTGGCGCGACGAGGCCGTCGAGCGGACTGGGCGGAGTTGGAGTGCGTTTTTGTCCATGGCTGTTGGCGATGGACTGGGTGGCCGGGCAGTCGGCGTGTTATCGTCTTGGGTATAATCGACCGTGTTGTCGTTGTCGATGCCGTCGCTGGTGATGTCCGTTTTGGGCGACGGTGGCCTTTCAGATTTTTCTGTGTCGGGGGCCATTGTATTTATGACTGTGGGTTGGCTAGGTGAGGGAAGACAACAAATGATAAAAGTCCAAAGGTAGGAATGTAATGCGGCATGAGAAGTAAGCTGGTGTGAGAACAATCTAAGGATCGGTCGACGGAGATTGAGATGGGAAGAGGTCAAGCGTCCATGGGCAAGACAGGGAAGCAATTACGATAATACGACAATAGAGCCAAGAGCCTGGGCAGGAAGTTGAAGACAAGAAGAGAGCCGACGACAATATAAAAACGGAGATGAACGACGACGCTATCCTAGTCGCGGGCGAGACACGGCCACCACGACGCGAGCGGCAGTGGGGGTGTCAAGGTTGTCAAGCTGGAGGGCGTACATATGTCGTAGGTTGATTGACAAGTCAAACCGGCCAATATGAAGGGTTGTGCAGAGAAAAGCGCATGGACAATCTTGCGTGGAGACTGTAGATATGGGCAGCTGCGTGAGGACGGACCAATGCTATACCGGTGTCCGAGTCCACGGCCGACACGGAGGGTGAGCAGACGGGAGAGGAAGGTTAGTGCAGGTTGTGGTGATCCTTGCCTATTCGATTTTTCTTTGCTATTGTTTTTCTTTTCCTGTCTTTTTTTTCGTTTGTCGATAGAGTCCGCTGCCGTCGACGATTCTGGGGTTGTGTCGTTGCTTTGTTGCTTGTCTGGGTCCTCGCCTGAGACCTCTTCGTGCCCGGTTGCACTGTATTGCTGTCTCGCCTGTGCTGTGTCTCGTTTTTATTGTCGATTTCCTCTTGTCGACTATTATTTTCCTGGCAACTTTTTTTTTTTTGTTTCTTTGATTCCATCTGTCATGGGTCTTTACCCCGGTTACGGTACCCACTCTCGCACTCTTCGCTAGCGGACCTGGACCGGAGGCTTTGGCGTTGGACGGCCAGGCCGCCCGTTTTTTTAGCGGCAAATTCACCACCGTGCTTCACTCATGGCAGCCACGTAGGTCACTACTCCGTATTGCCATGCCGTAAATCCGTGGATCTTCGCTCAAGGAACTATGTTTCCCCCATCAAGCCTTGGTCGACTTCCTTTCCTGGCTTAGACGCGAATAACAATCCATCCTGGCCTCCTTTTCGCTTGCTTTTAGGAGGCACTTGGGGCAGGTTAGGCTAGGTAGCAAACGACTGCGAAAAGTTTCATGTTTCTTGAGATGGTAGACCTCGAGTTGTTTAGATGGTTGCTGTCGTCTCCGCCTGCCAGGTCGGTGGTCACAATGCAGATTCGCATGCCGTTCGTACGAAGGCCATTATCCCCTGCATAAAGCAAACAAAACGCATGGCGGACGAGCCCCGAACCTGGCCAGTCGCCTCGCTACGTCTACTGGAACATGCATCGGGACCGGGTCGGAGGCCTGTCCTGCACACCTGTCTTATCGACCGGGTCATGGTCCTAGTTGTCGTCTCGTTTTGCTTTCTTTTTTATTCCCTGCAAGCAGGCCATCAATCTCGCAGCCAAATCTCGCTTCCTCAAGACGTCCAGTCGTACTCGCCCCGATAGATTGTTTCTGTATGACTCCGAGCGGACTAAATCGGGCGATGCGAGGTGAAGACTGTGATGGGGAAGTAAAAAAGAAAGAAAGAAAGAACGCACCAACGGGTCTGCGCTTGTCGCTTGACCCACGACGAGGTTAGACGATCTTGCAACGTGAATTGTGTGAATCTCTCCATGTTTGCAAATACGTTACGGTTGGCAGGTATAGCCACACTTTGACTCTGGTACTCTGGTACACCTGTGGTGGGTACGGTTACCGCAGATAATTCCTTGTCTGTTCTTCCAGAAGTGATTAGCTGTTCCGTGCGGCAGGCTGCGAACCACACAACAGCTCTCCGTACGGTGGCATGATAGGCATGACCCCGTAACCTGACCGATCAGTGAACACAGGTACAGGCACAAGCACAGGTACAGGTACAGGAACAGGAACAGGAACAAGAACAGCTACAAGAACACGACCAGAGACATGCACGAATGACAAATACAAAAACACAAAAACAAAGGATGACAAGTTGCAGTAGAGGTTGACAGCAAGTTTAGAGGTGGGGCTGCAAGTGAATGAAGAAACAAAGTAGTCGGAAGCAAAAGACGAGGGCAGTGTGAAGAGATGATGACAGCAAAGATGACAAACCAGAAAATGGCTTTTGTTATAACTGCAAAACACTCAGTAAATAATGACGAAGACTGACCTGCAACGAAAAGCAATCAAGATCCGACGGGGAACGGAAGGAGCGACATTCACATCCGCATCCGATAAGAGTGGCAGGTGCTGTGCAACGTTTCGGCGTCAGCGTTGCTTGCGTCCCGTTGTCACAGGGCGTGCCTACTTGACATGTCCGTGTCAAAATACTGGTGCGGGGGTCCCAAGGCGATTGCCAGGTTCGTGGTTGTCGCGCTGGCCATCACCGCAACCCCGCCAGTCGCTCTTGCCAGAAAGGAGTACGAGTGTATGCAAATGTCTCCCTCCCACTTGGAAAGACACAACGGCAAATCAGACGAGCCCACAAGAATCGAGACAGCCTGCACTTCTTCCCCTCACGACCTATTGGCGTCTATGTGTCGGGCCTCTTGACACCAATTCTGCACACCCTCTCAAAAAGAAGCTTGCACCGAGTTCGACCGCTGTTGATTGACGACAGTTTCTTTGTTTCGACCGGGTCGACCGCTGATGCCGACGATAAACGTCGACCGAGAAGTCGCATCTTGGCCGAAATCTGTTGGGCGCAGAACGGCTTTGACCTTGAAAAACGCCACGAGTATCATTGCCGCATAGACGCGACGAGTTAAAGGGTGCTGTCCAGGGGCAAATAAAGGCTCTCCACTGTCCATCCGTCGGTCGCTCGTCAGGAAAATCTGGTCGTTATGTTGGCAGTTATGTTGCCAGGACTGTCAACCTCACTCAGCCTTCATTCAGAGCAAAGCTTAACATAACTTGCCAGGTTTGGGGCGCAGTGACTGAACCGACAAGGTTGGAAGGCTGCCATACGACCACAGCCTCGGAATTCGCGCTAGGTCGATGGCTGGCCGTGCCGACGCGAGCGTGCAAAGTGGCAGCTCTGATGGTCTCCAATGGCCCCCTGACTTCCAATGACTGCCTTTTGTTGCTCTTCTGCCTTGCACTATCCTGAACTGTCCGAGTTCCAAGAGCTGCTTGCCACGGTCAGCCTGGCAGTTTTGCAAAACTGCCTGGCCTCTGGAAGGTCACTTCAGAATACGGTTACCGACAGCCTTTTCATGTCACCGGCCGAGAAGAAGGACGGAAATGGACAAAACGACTGCGATCGAGAACACGGGGGTGTGACGCTTTGATGGTTGAACATAACTGGCGCAGGCGCAGCGCGACTGAAAAGCAAATGACTCGATCAGCTCGAGCAGAATGGTGTACGAGACGCGGCTGGAGGCCTTGAAATCGTAGAGCTGGGACCTGCAGTTCTTAGAATGACTTGCTTCTCATTTATTCGTCTGATTTCACCTTTTCTTGGCCTCGCTTTGTTTTTTGCCTTGTACCTCTTATCTTCAATTGTTCGTAACAATTTCGACCTTTCGCACAGCATCGCATCGCCATGGCACCAATACCAGCCTTCAAGAGCCGCCTTTTGGTACCAACACACGACATATCCAACACAGCATCCTCTCTACGAACAGGATCGCTCACCTCACGAAGCTTTCAATCCACGATCCCAGTCACATCCGCACCATCACACACACCAATCACGCCTTCGATTGCCTTCCACCGCGTCGCCGGTGTTCTCTTCGAGCATTTTGACAACAATAAGAATAGAGCAAAACGAGACGACGAGACCGACAGCGATACGAATCATAAACGTTACGAAATCATCTTGCCCATCATCGGTGGCTGCGTCGTTCTGTGGTTCCTCTATAGCTGGACTCGCAACCATTTCCGCAGAGGCGGCACCTGGAAAGCCTACGGTAAAGCCTGGCTTACGGGCTTGAAGTATTTCCTGTTCTTCACTGTCTTGCTGCCCATCACCCTTCTCGGATGCGTCGTCGGGTGTTTCAGCGCTTGCAACAATAAAGGGAAGCCCAAGCCGGCCGCGAACGCGGCCAATCCCAACCGGGTTGGCGCCCTCCCACGCAATCGCGACAATCGTGAACCGCCGCCATTAAACCGCCCACTGATGCCTCTGGATCCCGTGGTCGTGATGCCCGACTTGCCTGACCAAGAAGATCCCGATGCTGTTGAGGTTTTACCGCCACCACCACCGCCCATTGCGCAAAAGAATGAGACGACAGCCGAGGCCACGGAGACGTTTCTCTCCAGCGACGGGAAAAACATCTCCAGTGGCAGCGGTCTTATCAAGGGTTCTTTCTAGCTGCAAGTCCGGTGAGCCAAGACATAACAAAACAAAACAGCGCCCAGCGACTTCACATGCAGCCAAGAACACTAGGTTGACGGGCGAGGCTGAGTTCACTGTTGGCATCCATCCCTGAACCCGTTAAACCCCTCACATGCCAGGACACAGCAACGAACAGTGGTTCAGATATGCGTCCCAAAACTCGTCACGACGTGAATGAGGCTCGCCTTTACCGTTCCGACTCGTCGTTCTTGGCTGGGCGTATCTCATGATAGGCTCCTACACAAGGCTGCCTTGGAACCGCCACTGCTTCGACCACTCTTTAGTGGCCCAACGACCCACATCGCTGACAACCCATCCGCCGTCCGCGAAAACCTTATTTCAACCCCAGAGGCTCACACCTGCTTCGGTTTTCTTCTCTGTCTTCAATTTCTCTCTGTACATTACCATTCTTTTGCTCCTCATTCCTTCCGTGTGCGACTCACACAATGGCCCCGTTGAGCAACACCGCCCTGTCACCTGCCATCAGCAATCATTTGTCACATCCCCCGGCCTTCTTACCTCCTTCCTTCTCGTCCATCACCACTCGCGACGATGCTTCCGATGCTGCCCGTGCGAAGAAACAGAAAAAGGAGATGATCCGCAACATTCTGATCATCACCCTCAACCCGGTGACCCTCATTATTGTTATAATGGTGTTCTACTACCTCATCAAGGGCATCCGGAACGAAATCCGCTACCGTCGCCAGAAGAAAAAGAACGACCTCGAGGAGCTGGCGATACAGCAAGAATGGGAGCGTCAGTGGAACGCACAGTTCGGCATTGGGTCCAACAACTACATACCTCCGAAGACGGCGCCGGTCGGGGAAGACGGAGCAGTAGCACAACCTGGCAACAGCAACACCAACGCCAACGCCAACGCCAACGAGACACCACGTGGCGGCTTCTTTTCCTTCTTTCGCTGGCGATGGCCACGCGGCAATACGGCAACAGTACCTGCCATGTCGATAGACATGACGGAAAAGACGACGGACAAAGACCCCACGTTTGTGTCTGAGAAGGACGACACGTATGCTCGCGCTAGTAACGATACCGACCGGACTGCCATTGCCGTGGGTGTTGCGCCTATCGTGACGACGGACGATGAGAAGAAAGGCGCCAGATAATTATTGGCTGTGGTCTATGATATCCAATGCTGTTAATTATGTTGCCAGTTTTGTCACTGATTTCTTCTATGTTTCTGATGTTTTACGACTCGCGAAGCAACATTTGTACTCTCATAACGGCCGATACCACCATGCACTGCTTCCTTATTCCCATTTTAACATACAGTTGTAATTTTTTTTGTACATTTTTTACGCACTTTTTTATCTCTGTTCATGATCCTGTATACTACTTATATGTCATAAAGAGTCCATATTAATGTTATCCCCAGAACAAAATGTGCCATTACAAGCGCGACGCCACAGTGACTCTCCCATTTGGGATCTGAATACAACTGCAACCACCATGCAGCTAGACTGACGGTTTCTCCGCCACGCCGAAAAACAACCGCAGATTGCCGCCGCCAATCTGCGGTGGGACTTGCGACACCTCGGTGTTGACCCGAATCTCGCCGTGGACTAGCCCAGCCTCGCCAAAAAATGCGCAGCATGTCTTTTTCGGTGAAGCCGCGGTGGACTACGGTATGCAAGCCGCCAGGTGCCTTGGCGTTGCTGTGATCGGGGTTGTGACTGTGATCGTGGTCGTGGCCGTGGTCGTGGCCGTGGTCGTGACCGTGGCCATGACTGTGCCCATGACTGTGATCATGCCCGTGCTCATGAAGGTGTTCATGACTGTGTCCATGGCCAGTGGGTACATCTTCCGTCTCACCGTCCGCCATGTGCAGGTCAATCACCAGCAACTTGCCACCCGGCACCAGACGGCTCGCCATACCTTGCAGCACGGCCACTGGGTGCTCCACGTGGTGCAGGGCCATGGAGATGAGGGCGACGTCGAACCCCTGGAACTCGTCGCCCTCGGCTGCCTTGGCCAGTGACGAGTCCGTGCCGGTGGCCAGGTCTGCCTCAACCGCGCGCATCCGCTCCGGCGTGAAACCCGCTTCCACCGCCGCCTCGTTGTACCGTTTCACCATGGTCGACGAAATGTCGATGCCGCGCAGGTGCTTTGCGTAGGGCGCCAGGGCCGTGGAGATGCGGCCGCTGCCACAGGCATAGTCCAGCAGGCGGATGCCTGTGCCGTCGGCGGCGCTGGCCCCCTCCGGGACGCCGATCCACACGCGGTTGGTCGTCAGGTAGTCAATGATCTGGCGGTGCATTTCGGCGATCCACTTGATCTTGAAAGTGTCCTCGGGCAGGTTGCTACGCAGTTAAGTTGGTTAGCGCTCTGAATACGTAGCATTACTACCCATACCGTCCTCCTTACTCACTCATAGTGTTCTTTGTTAACCTCCTTCCAGGTCTTGCCGTCCTTGGGCTGATTGGGAATGTCAACGTCCATGATGGTGGCTGGTGTCGACGTCGTTGCGACTTTTGTTGTAAGGCGAGACGGAAGGACAAAGTAGGCTGCGAGGAGTGCGAGAATAATTGTGAGGGCAAGGAAAGCTGTTGTGTTGTAGAGAAAGCCGGTCTTCTTCTTTTGGTACTTTTGAGACGTTTGGTGTTGCTTATTGTAGCCCAAGTCCGTAGGCATTACCTGTCCCACGCTTCAAGTCGAGTGGCTGGTGTGTTTTTGGTTTGTGTTGAAGATGTCAATGTCAAACATGAGGATGATATCTTTCAATTATCTCCTGGATCTGTACACTTTCAGGAGTATTTATACAGAATCGACGACAGTTTGCCTCTTCTCGGAGACTTTTTTGCTGCGTACCTTCTTGGTTCTTTGTGGCCGAAAAGTCTCCGAAAAGGCAGTTCTTGGCCGGTCAACGCGTCGAAAATAGGATTACAACTAAGAATGGACGACTTAGCTCAATAAATGTTTTCTGGAAGCGACAAAACTTGCTCAAATATACCGCCATGGTCGCAAAGTGTTGTGATGCGGCCGGGACATTGGATGTGGTGATGGAGAATCACTTGCGACCCCACTTGGTATGGGTTGCGTCACACAACAATACTCCCCATTGTCGTGTAAATGTACCCAGCTCGACAGTTACACCAGGCAATCCGCTAAAGTTCCCAAGTTTTAAGTACCGCCGCCCTGCTGCCCGTCGTTTTCAAAGTAGAATTTCGGCAAATGACTCGTCTGCACTTCAACGTTCCTGGCTAGTTGACAGGCGGTCCGCTGGTCCACTTTTTCAGCACTTACACGCCAACAAGCACATCCACCTCGGAGACATTTCTTCGCTCAACATCGGCGCCATATCCTCTAGAGAGGGGAAAAAAAAAAGCCCTTTGAGATACAGTACGTCCCTCGTGTGCACAAAGTCATGCTCATAGGTCGTGGCAGCAGAGCCGAGAATCTGGCCGAGCTTCCTAAACCTCCATCTTTGGCTTTGGCGGCTTTCCGCCCTGCCTGGCTTGTGTATAATCACGGCCAGAGCCGTTCTTTCCTCCAGGTGACTGTGTCCGATCCCAAAGTGCTATCTTCTCTCACATACCGAAGTCGGTGGTGCTGGCGGTCTGTTGCTCCCTGCCAGAATTCCACGTCCGTCGGCGCCACGGCGTACACGAGCCATCCGGGCGATACGTACTCCGGGTCCTTGTCAAACAGGGCCTGTGCCTCGGCCGTCCTCTTTGAGAGTTCGTTTTCGGACGTTGCAGGGTCCACCATGACCTCGCTTTGCGGTGACGCCACCGCGCTGACCCGCGAAGCCAGTGGCCTGGCCAAGAAATCAGCGGCGCATTCCTCGACCGGCAACGGCAGGGCCCGGCCACGGATGCGTACCTGCCGGCCGAGTGACGACCAATAAAAAGTCAGACAGCACGCCGAATTGGCCATGAGCTGGCGGCCCTTGGGACTGGCGGCCTTGACGGCAAAATGCCAGCCGCGGCCGTCCACGTTTTTGAGGATGAGAACGCGGGCGTCCGGCAGCCCCTCGGCGTCGACGGTCGAGACAGTCATGGCGTGCGGCTCATAGGGCGTCGCCGATGCTGCGGCGGTCTTGCCACCCTCTGCAATAGCGTCGCGGAGCCACCGCACAAAGGCTGCTTGGGGCGTCGTCGGAAAGGCCGCCCAGTCGACAGGCGCGTAGGGCCCCTTGAGCGACGGCAAGTTTCGAAGCAATGAGCGGATCTGGTCGTTGTCGTCAACGTAGCTTGAGTCGTCGGAGACGGCAGCAGCTGCCGCTGCCGTAGATGAAGGATCCGACATAATGTTGCTTCGATGTGGCCAGTCGTATTTGTTCTGCTTTTCGTATCCCAGGAGCCCAGGACAGGTTGGCCTCGCGCTGTTTTGACTCGATCGGTGCCTTGCCGTGACTCAATGCTTGGCCTACTTGTCATGTTAGAACACGGAAGGAAAGATGAGAAGGAAACGTAGGATAAAGACTTTGTCGCTTCTGCACTCGCAACGTTTCGCTACTCACAGTTTGGTGGAAACGGAACATATCGTGCAGTGACAGTTATCACGATCGTAACGACTCCCAAACCCGACCCGTAATGGCTGTGGTGCCGCCTCGCTTGTTTGTCTATCGTGCAGTGTGTGGTTGTACGAAGGGAAGACTCCGGTGTTATGTTGTACCTTTGCTTATGTCTGTGACTCAAACAACGTTCGTTCGGAAGGAGCTGCCCGCACGTCATTATGGTCTTGTACGTCCCGTTTTGGGAGTGACGTCTTGTCACGTGATACTACAAACAGCTTTAACCATAGGATTTTTTTTTTTAATATCCCACGTACATGGAGCATATCTTGACCTAACGTTCTGCTGGCAGTAAGTCGAATGAGACCTGAAAGAGGAAACCTGAGCGCCTGAGCGCCAAGCAGGCTCGGTCTGCAGGATACTTTAGGCTAAGAGCGGCGCATATGTGGGCGTGCAGAAAGGCGCTTTCCGGATTATGGGGTCGACGCATATTCCTTCCTCCTTCTTTTACAGGCCAACTGTCACAACCCCCCCTACGCCAAATATTTGTCTTTAACTGCCTCCTGTGTATTTCATTTCTTGTCCTATTAATTTGCACTGAAGACCATTGCCCGGTCTCGTGAACCCCCGAGTCGAGCCTTTACTGTACAGCGTCATCTAGCCGGGTCCTGAATTTGGGTTTTGGCCCCCAAATGTGCTGCATCATATCATCTGATCGGAAAACAGGGCGCATATGGTTACTTTTTATCCATTTTCTCTTCCTGTTGGTTTCTTATAGATTGCCCTCCTATGACTGTAGGTTCTGAACTGATCTGCCTAACGACAAGGTGTGGCCCAGGTTTGAGACCTGCGCATCTGTTGTGGCTATTTACGTCCGCAACTGGCCGCCTTTTACCCCATTTGTTTTCTTTGCCTTTGTGCTTTGTGTTGGTGTTTTTTTTTGGTATCTCAACAAGGAAAGGTAGGCCAATATGTGAAAGTTGTTTCTATTCGGGCGAGATAGCAATGTTTAAGCTTTCCGCTGCCCATACAGCACACAAGCTGAATATCCGGGACGCTCGGTCTGAAACATCCCAGCCCTATGTTGCCACCCCATTCTACAGCTTCTGACAGCTGCATCTTGTCTTACCACAATCGTACTGGCTCGGTGGCTGCCATGTCTCGTGTCTCATGACAGAGGTGAGAGTAAGATGGAACTTCAGCCTTACCACGAATCGGCAGGCTTCAGAACAAGCTTAAGCGGGCATAGCTTGGTATCGTCATCCTCCCACATCCCAAACAATTCCCATCCGGCGCTCGTATGGGGAAGGAAGATGATAAAAGGGGTCGCTGATGCGATCCTTCGTTTCCATCCCCCACCTATGGAAGACAAAGATCAAGTATGAATGGTACGTTAAAGGCGGGAGGGGGGTGTGACCAAAGGATCGGGGCATGTAACATGGGTGAGGGAGGAGGGGGGGTGAGACGAGTTGGACGACGACATGGGGGCATTTGCCTGTTGTAGACTGGCTAAGGAGTACACATTATTATTCGAAAAGTAATACAGCCAAGCATCCACCAGTCGCAGCGTCCTGTAACATGATTCCATATCCCAAAGGATTTTCATGTTGCCGTAAGGAGTCCACGTTCGTAGGGACAGTTTGTCGCGAATTTGTCACCACGGCCCCTATGGTTGCAACGCAGACAAATAATTGAATTGACTGTACGAATGAGGAAACCGAACTATGGCGAAGGACTGCGGCACGACGGGGCAAGAGCCGCCCCCAAATTCTAGGCAACGGACAACGAAACTGCACAGTGGTATTCTAAAAGTTCAATGTTTAACCGGTAAACGCCGTCCTCATGTAGTTCTGTCCTCTGCCCTTTGTGACTTGAGTTTGTAAACAAAATAATTGCATTTCAGACTCCTTTATCTGGCAAAGACCAAGTCAAAAGCGGCACGGCGGCGAAGACAAAATCATGTGCCTTTCTGTTTGTTTCTCCTTTGTCTCCCTTTTTGGACAATTTGTGTACATTTCTAGATCATCCAAAACAAGTAACTCTTAAGGAAGTACTTTGTCGTTGGCAACCCCTATCATCGTTTTTCTGCCTGCCGGGGAAAGATCCATATGCTCGTATATGTGTCCGAAAAGATTTTAGCTTTTGAGACTGCGCCACTCCGCCTTTTCGTACCTCAGGATCTGGCATGGCCTTGCCGATTGCAGTACGCCGTTTATTGCATCCAAGATGTTGAATGCAAAACAGGAGGGGAGAATGAGGCCGTCCCACCCGCTTCGCCAGTTTTATTTTACCTGAGGCAGGTAATGGCGACTGGATGGTCTTGACATTCGACGCTTAACTGTCGGGGATATAACAGCAGCGCTAAGGTTTGGCGCGGCAAACAAACCAATTTTGCAACATGCCTACGACTTCCTTTGAGCGTAATGTGCACAGAAGACGTCACCTTTTACACCAAGGAAAATACGAAGGATTGTAGCGCGGATAAACAAGACATGACACCAATTGTGTATGAACACTACAAAAAAGCTTAATTCATACATCACTGCGAGAGACGTTCCGTATTCAAAATCAAATGTCCACGCCATACCGATCCAAAATAAATCAGCTACCAACACTTGACGGTCCGGCGCAATCGCCTTTACGAGTTATTCTGCCCGATAGCGACACCAACTTCTGAAATTGACGGGAAAAGAACCACCGCCACAAAACCGGCCCATCGCAAAGCGTTGACTTTCTTGTTTCTATTGGGGCGCGGGAGAGTCACATGCCATGCAGTGACCTTGTGCTCTCTGACCGCGAGCCGGTGTTTTCATCTCTTCCCATCTAGACCTTTCCAGAGTTTCGTATTGTGCTGGACTCGACACGAATGTCCGTTTTAGTAGTCTTGAAAGGAAATACTCCGTCGGTTCAACTACACGGACCGTTTCTCAATAAACCCGTTTTTCAGCACCCCGATTTGCCTCATAACCGTATTTTCAATGTTTCTTACTGGAAAACCTCCGCACACAATGGCACGTACTGACCGTACCCTCGTAGTGCGTCCATTTAACGTTTTTCACTCAACGTTTCCAGCATCACGGCAGACCACTGCAGCGCACTCGTTCCATGCCGTTGCTGCGGTCTGAACCGCCGCCTCCTTGGCAGGTGCCTGAATTCGACTCCGTAGAGTCACTTTTGTACTGAAAGTTCGTACTGCGGTTTGGTTTGTTGGATATGTTGTCCTTCTTGAATGAATTGCAAGCGTCCCGGCTCTGGTCCTTTCCGATTCCTTTGCCAAATCCTACGCTACCAGCCTCAAACAACGTAGTAAATATTGAACGACATGATAAATTCAAATAAAAATTAACTTGAAAACGACAATTCCATTTAACAGCATCGGACACAATTTCAATGATTTCGGAGAATGTTGCTTCACAGTGATATTTGCAGCATTTGTAATTCACTTCCTTGGCTGTTCCGTCCGCCTTCTGTCGTCCGCACACCCAACGTCTATAAACATTTTCGAAGGATTCAAAGCTGACACACCGTCCTTATCCTCCTGGTCAGCACAGTTCAAACTACCTTTTCAAAGTATTACGACGGGAATTGTTTTTAAAATAAAACAGTAGGACGCTAAAGTACACTTTCCCATTACACGAATCGGACTTTTGACAGTCCTGATTCAGTCGTCTCCGAAACAAACTGGCCTGTCCACAAATCAACACAGGCCCCTATTTCCTCACATATCCATAGTCGTCCACTCAACGTATGGACTATATTGTTCCCAAGTTATCCGATTGTGACCAGTACCACTACGATCCTTCGGCGAGATACCCAAACACCAACCAAGAATCAAGAAAAGGCCATGGACAGTCTGCGCCCCTGCAACGCTGTGGTACGGTGGCACCTCCGGCTTCATCGGTGCCTTGCGTCGAGCTGTCATGAAGGTTCTATTCGTCCTCCATACTTCCATCATGCGTCATACCGTCATGGTCTCAGCCTCGCACAGACTGTACATACCCTCCTACGTCCCACCCAACAGACACATCACTTACAAATGCACCCCCCTTCCATGGGGCATACAGTCGACCGGTCTGTTTATTTTTATTTTTAATGTTATTTTATATTTGCCCTACTCCATTTTGGTGTGTTACTCTCGCAAGCCCCGAGTATGGTGACGTGCGTGGGGTAGACATTTTGCACGCCCCCTCCATCCGTGTACGCATTTTGGGTCTCGTTGCCTGTCGTGCCATCCTTTCCGGTTGTTTAAACCATGATCTAAGCTCCTTATCTAAGCCGTCAGAGCCAAACTCTCCTCTCTGTTTGGGCACCCTGGATTCTGGGACCACGCAAGCGACCTTGAAAACACCGGGAGGGGTGTGAGGGTCTGCAGCTGAGGGTGTGTGGCAGATGATGTGCACCTGCCTGCGTTAGTTTTCTGTCAAGTGGTTCCCCCATGCATGAGATATGACGGCGATGGGCGACGGGCACCCGATGGGACCTCAAGGGTAACGAACCGAGACGAGGGCCAAGCAGCTGGATTTCGAGAGACTGTGAGCATGGGCCTACTCCGGTCGCCTCACGGACATATACGCAGGGGTAAGAGAACTATAATACCAAACACAACGTCAGGACGACGGACACGCCCGTCATTTGTCGAATCCCTTTGCACCAGGGCGCAGTCAATTTGCTCGAGACCCTTCTCCTGTCATCACAAGCTATAGTGCCTCGACATCGTTCTTATTCCCGTGTACTTCATCCTTTCATTTCCTTGCTGTCTCTCACTCCCGAGCACTTGCACACTTGCATCTTTTAGTTCCCATATACGTCAGAGCCCCATCTGCCTCACACCCGTCCTCGTTTCGTTTCATGTGCCAACGGGGGTTGGTTCATAAAGGGAAAAGCCTTACAAGGTAGACACTTGACGGTTACGGACTGGCCCGGATCCGCGACCCTTGGCCTATGACTTCATCCATCTATACTAGGCTGCGGCTCGTGACGCTGTGGTGGGAGCAGGGCCGCTCCTCGTGATGAAGCACCCCCATGTATCTGCCTATTCCATATGACAAACACCAGCTTCGCACATCGCCGGTACCACGATCAAACAGCAATCTTTTTTATGGAAATAATCATTCCGCACTGTCCTTTGCTTCTGCACGGCTCTGAATCAGGCATAAAAGTAAGAGTAAGAAGGACTGTGCGTCTATTGTGGTTTCGATTCTCCCCCTTTCTGTGGCTTGCATTTGCCACCCGTGTTCAACTATCACCGAATGTCAACAAAAGGTACGCACAGCAGCACTGTTGGCCTCACTTGGCATCACTCCGTGTTGTTATGCTTCAATTCCTGAGTCTACTTGACGACCGCCCCTGCTCTCTTACATCCTCCTCTCCGTTGTCTGTTGGGGGCCAAGTTTGCATGCTCATCGCCTCATTGCACTTGGTCTTTACTTCCGTCGTTTCATCAACCATCAGTACATCATCTTCCCGCTGCTTTTTGTTGATATTCTTTTCCAGCTTTGCACATTATACCCTAATTTTGTTGCATTCCGCCTCGGCTCCCGCTCGACAGCCCAACAGACATCATCAATACCACCATCAACATATTACCATAATACTTGGGACAATAAAAACTATATAAACTGGCATCTCCAGCATCAACATGTCTGTTCCTAAAAAGGTCAGTACTCAAGGCATCAAGACAATATACCCAAGACAAAGTCAAGTCCCACATTCGACGCTCTCCTGAAAGCATCCATTCATACTAGTTTGCTTCAACAGTCATCCAACACCGACATGTTCCGTCCGGAAAAGGCCGAGGACTGGGAAGAGTTTCGCGATGTGATCACGGTTCTCTACCAAAACAACACATTATCTGAAGTCATTGTGCAGATGAAGACACTGCATTTTTTCAGCGCAACGTAGGTCCCTCAAGACGATATTTATGACAGCGTCAACCGCAAGTTCGCACTGACACACCCTAACATCCCAGTCCCAAACAGTACAAGACCAAGTTCAAGGAGTGGGGCCTCACGACAAAGTACGTCAAGGGTACCGAGTATGAGGAGCTGCTCGAGCAGGAAGAGCAGGAAGAGTACAATGTCCGCGGCAAACGCGTCTCGCACCAGGACGTCGCTCGGTTTAAGCGCCGCCGCGAGAAGAGCGAGAGCAAGGCAAAGGGCGGCAGCAGTGGCAAGTCCTCTTCCTCGTCCAAGGGTGGGAGCGCAAGTGGCGCGTCCGGCATGGACACCGGCTACGAGTACGAATACTACGACACCAGCGGCGAGGGTGGTAGTGGCGGCGCGTATATGATCTCCTCTGGCGACTACATGGCCTACACAACGAGCGGCGCCGCAGGTGGCGGCGGCGGCACATACATTACCGCCGACGGCTCGCCCGTCACAGCGGCCACGGACTACGGCGCCTATGCGTACGATGCCAGTGGCGGTGCCGCACAAGGATACGACCCAAACCTCGAGGGTGGCTATCAACAGCAAGGTTATGGTGAGTGAGCCCTTCAGACAAAAAGCAAAATCAAAAAGATGTGCAATAAAAGACAGGGTGAATAGAAACACAAATAATTTCAAGTCTTTTCAAGCTAACACGGACCACAGGCTCCGGAAGCACGGCCAATTGGGGCTACTAATATCAGCCGCTACATCGGGTTTACGCAGAGAAAGACGGCCATGCTCCGACAACAAGGAACGAGAGTTGCACATGTGAGCTCGGTCCGGGATTAGGAGGATAGGAGGAGATGCAGTCCATTTGCCCGGTTGCTCTCTTTCGGCTATGATTTTGACTCGAAATACGATATACGACATAGCACGGATGACTTCTTGATGACGGTTGGTGCTTGCTGGTCATCGGCTGTCGACAGTTTTGGTTTTCGCTTGTGATGTACCTTTTTGTCCTGGGACTTGGTTCTTTTATGTTTACTAATCTTTGCATGGTATTTCTTTCATATTGGTCCAGGCTGGATCCTGTCGACCAGTAGCTCATCTTGAATTTCGATTTATTATTTGGTTTTAATTTCGGAGACGTAAATTCGATACGTTACTTCTCATGGGTTTTTTATTCTTTTTTAATTAGTTAATGAGTTGTGCTGATATTTTTTTTATTCATCAAAATACAGTAGCTACACGAAAATACCAACGATTAACAGGTTCAACGCTTTCAATTCAACCATAGAAAAGGAAAACAGACGACACAAGAACCCATGAAATGCCAAAGAACGTTTTGCTCGCACCATCGTTGACGTTGGTAAAAAGTGTGGCACGTCGACGCACTTGCATCCATTGATCTCTCGTTAGTCGCACCTGCCGTACGCATTTGCTACGGAGCGGGCTTTACCGAAAACGCCGTGAAGACGGACTTTTCTAAACCACCAGGCAAGAGGGTGATCTGTCAAGAGAATAACACATGGTTTGCCATTGACAGACCCGCTGTGGGTTGCCTTGATTTTATTTTCTTTTACTTGTCCCTTTGTCCTTCCCCAAAAGGCGTGCCGTGCTGCGACAGGACCATCTTGGCCACATCTGCTCCTTCCTCATTTTGCGGTGCAGGTAGGCGATTGAGTAAACCCGAAACCCGTTCCTGCCAACAATAGAATCCCATGCTTGAGCCCTAACGCCTTGTACGGCATGCCGCTCTGTTTCATTCGTGTGGTACTGAGGAGCATGTTAGTCGCAACAGTTGTATTCTGCTTGTGTTTTTAAAGGGAGGAAACGGACGTCGAGCCAGGGCATATGGGCAGGTAGGCGCGGTCCAGGCGCGGCACTCGCGGCCGGGCCTTCTGAAGTTTGTTGGGATCGCACACCAACAAAAAATTCATATATAAGAATCTTGCTTCCTCTCATTCTCGGAGCCCCCATCGTATCCAGTCCCCAGTCTCATCACTGCCATCGAAACACTTCACCGGGTCGTTCTCATAGTGTCCAACATGGGGCCCAGCAAAGAAGAGAGCGAGTCGTCCACATCCCCAGCGGCAGTTCCAGAAGCAGTCTGGGCAAATGCACGAGGCGACGAAAAACCGGGCTCTGCTGTCCTGGGCGACAACGCAGTCGACGACACGGGGAGTCCAGCCGGCAATGCCAAGGACGGCGACAATGTCGAAGGTGACAAAACGGCTGACACAGAGAAAAGCGAGGCTCCCACACAACAATACATGACAGGCCTCCCATTCGTGCTCACATTTGGCTCGCTCATTCTGGCGACTTTGCTGTCCGCACTGAATGCGTCCATGATTTCAACGGTAAGCGGGACAGGACATGTTTCATATTTGTCTATCTGTGCCCTTGCTAACACCAGCTAGGCCATACCGTCCATCACCAACGCATTTCATTCGATTCAAGACGTCGGCTGGTACAGCTCGAGCTATCTGATTTCCAAGTAAGTCTGCTCTGCTTGGGTTGCAGGCCATTCACATGCCGTGACTAACGATACAGCTGCGCAATGTTGCCATTGACAGGCAAGATTTTTGCCATATTCCCTCTTCGAGTACGCAAACAGACTCATTTCCCCTTGCCCACCGCAACCGGTTTCCGTATTGACGCTACCAGTACACATTTATTGTATTTGTCTTCATCTTGGAGGTTGGCAACCTGATCTCCGGCGTGGCTGTATCGTCGCCAATGCTGATTGTCGGTCGCTCCATTACGGGGATCGGCGGCTCGGGCATTCTCACGGGTGCCACGGCCATAATCACGACGATCCGTCCTCTCGAGAAGCGGCCGATGCTCATCGGTACCCTCATGGCTGGTGTAGCCCTCGGCCAGGTCGGTGGACCCCTCCTTGGTGGTGCATTAGCCCAAGTGACATGGCGCTGGGTGTTTTATATGTGAGTTTATACGCGGGCATTCATAGAAATGACAAGACACCAGACTGATGCGTTTTTGCCCCCATAGAAACCTCCCCATAGGCGGCATTGTCATCCTGCTCTTCCTCTTTATCGTTCGTCTGCCAGCGCCAACAGAGAAACCAAAGCAACTTCAGGTTCCCACACAAAACACAGACGACCAGAACGACCGCGCCGACAACAATGCTGCTGGATCTGGCTCTGGCATCCCGGCCCAAGTCAGCCGCCGTCAGCACCTTGGTACCATGTACAAACAGGTGGCTCGCATCGACTTCCCGGGGTTCGTTTGTTTCGCCGCAGCGTGTGCCCTGTTCCTGATCGGCCTCGAGTGGGGTGGCACCAAGTACGCCTGGGGCTCGGGCGTCGTCATCGGGCTGCTGGTCGCTGGCGCCGTGCTGTTTGGGGTCTTTGCCGCTTGGTCGCAGTACCTGGGCGACCGCGCGCTGCTGCCGTTCCGTCTGCTGCGGTATGGCTACGTCAACGTCTTTTGCGGCATCACTGCCTTGGCGCAGTCTGCGAGCGTCTTTGTTCTCATGTCCTACCTGCCCATCTGGTTCCAGGGCGTCAAGGGCGCCACGCCCGTGGTCAGCGGCGTCATGCTGCTGCCCACCATCGTCGCGCAGCTCCTTGCCGCGTTCCTCTGCGGCTTCCTGGTCCAGCGCACCGGGTACTACATGCCCGAGCTCCTGAGCGGCAACTCCATGGTGCTCATCGCGTCGGGTCTGTTTACGACGTTTTCGCCATCCACGGGCGCCGGCTCCTGGATCGGGTTCCAAATCCTGGGTGGCGCCGGCCGCGGGTTCGTCAACCAGCTGCTGGTCACAGTCATCCAGGCGAACGTGCCGCCCTCGGACATCCCGCTGGGTGTCAGCTACGTCTTGTTTTGCCAGTACTTTGGCGGCGCCGTGGCCATCTGCGCGGCGCGGACAGTGCTGACTTCGACGATTGGCGCGGCGCTGGCCAAGTATGCGCCGTCCGTGGACGCAGCGACGGTCATCAACACGGGCGTGACGGACCTGCGCCACGTGATCCCGGCCAGCGACATCAACGGTGTTGTTCTCGCGTACAACAAGGCGCTGGTCAATGTTTATGTGAGTCGTCGTCACCGAGCCTGTGGTATTGTCCTTTTTGTCGCCGAATGCATTACTGATGAGCCGCGTAGTACCTCCAAATTGCCTTCTCGGCTACCGCCTTGGTCTGCTCCTCTTTCCTGGGCTGGCGTGACATCCGCAAACCCACACCGGTTCAGACGGAAAAGAGTGATGTTGAAAATGCCAAGACAGAAACACCAGAGAAGACGGAAACGACTGAGAAGACCGAGAAAACAGACGAAAGCAAGTAATTTGCTTGCTGACTACAACGAAGTTCACCCACAAATCATATTGAATTTAGAGTCTGCGTTGTATTTCATGTCTGTCTATTTGCATCTTGTATAAACAATAAGCCATTAATCTTAATCATTAGTTTTCGTCCAATTTCGGTCGGACGGCAGAGTGCTCTGCCGTTCTTGCCCTGTTCTCAAAATTCCGTCTACGTCTGTCGTTGTGGGTGCCTTGTACATGGGCATTGAAAATAATATGTAGTAATGAACAATATAAGAAAGGAAATGATGTGTGTGTGTGATGATACATGGAGTGAACTGAGCTGCCGTGGGAGAATAGAAACGTTGAGGCAGAGAGAACGTTTTGGCATTAGCGGGAAGCACGGAAGCGGCCAGCAGTGCCTTTCTCTGGGGGGTACGTGGTGTGCCATTGTCCATTGTCGTAGCTCTTTGACGACGAGGAAGATGACGAAAAAGACGAGGGAGGGGCACTGCTGGTGGTCGGCCGGTGCCATTGCCCGTCATTAAAGGTGGTGGTGGTGGCAGATAAGGACGAAGACGTCGGGGAGGATGACGAGGTGGAAGAGGAGGAGCGGGTCGGAGAGGTGGGTGTGGGTGGATGCCAGAGGCCGTTGTCATACGTTGTAGTGGATGTGGTGGAAGTGGAAAACGTAGACTGGCTGGGTCGGGGAGGGCCGTAGCCTCCGGACCAAGTGGAAGCGGGAGAGTGGTAGATTAGTGTGGAGGAGGAGGACAATGCTGAGGACGAGGACGCAGTTATCGAGGATGACGAAGTGGCAGAGGAGAGTGATGGAGGGTGTGTATGAGATTGAGAGGACGAAGCAGTGGACAAGGCCGGAGTGGAGGAGCCCAAGGACGGCGCGGGGAGTGTCTTTGATGATGAGACAGACGAGGAGAATGACGAGGGTGACGACAAGGACGGTGACGACGAGGATGGTGACGACGGCGTTGCTGAATGCGCCGCAGAATGAACCGGAACCACCGTCTCCGATACCGTCACGACGACTACCCCCGTAGACGCCGTGTCTGTCATGGCGTCTGTCGTTGTGCTCAACGGCCCCTGCACGCCCACCACGGAAATCTTTGTGACATGCGTCGTCACTGGCGATTTTGGTCCGGTCGTGGATGTCACCACAACCGTATCCGTGTCGGTGACTGTGGGTTCGGCCGACTCGACAACCACAGTGGTTCGAAACGCGGTCGCTGTTTTTGTGCCCGACGCCGGTATTGTAGACGTGGTCGTTGCGCCGCTGCCACCTCCGTTTCCACTGTCATCACCACTACCGCTGCCGCCGTCAATGTTGACGACAGAGTAGGTCGCTCGTGGAGCGACTGCGGCGTCTCGTTTTTGCTGCCCTTTTGGGGCATTGTGCTTGGGACTAAAAGGCAGGGATGAGGCGACTGTGGAGAAGACTACCGCCACAGTCAAGAGTGACGCGGGGAGGTGATGCAACTGCATCGTAGAAACGAGAGAAGGGCGACCAGAAGAAGGCTGTGTGGAGAGGAGGATTGCTAGTAATTTGTGCTATTGGTGGGTGGGTTGTGAATGACAGGAGAACTGGAGTGTTGAGCGAGGTCGTGATAATGTGAGTTGTTTGAAATGTGCGGTTGGCGGTGAAGTTGGAGGAGGTGATGAGTGGTGAAGTGCTATGAAAGAGCTAAAGTGATGTCGGTGAAGTGAGGCCGCTGAAGTGCCGTTTGATGGGAAGTGAATGAATGAGTAATGGTCAAAGGAAACAAACCTTGAAAACTGTTGACGTGAAGATAAATACGAGGGTGAAGAAAAAGTCTCCAAAAAAATTGGAGGATGCTGGGGTCCTTTTCTTATGTATTCTCCAAGTGATCCTTGTTTTTTCTGTCCTGGCCAGATGCGGTCGGAAATGCAGCAGAAATGCAGAAGGCTGGAAACGGTGATTTGCAGCCGTGGCGAAATGTAAATAAACCATTTTTGGCGGACAGAGAAATACTGTGGCTGGGGAGAGAAACCAAACAAACGCAAAATAGGGGCTCGAGCGCAATTTTGATTGGTTGATGGCCGTTTGATTTTCAGGAACAGGTGAAAATAAGTGGGGCCATATTTCAACCAACCTCCCGTTGACATTTATTCCTAGCGCGACTGAACATTTTACGCAGGGTCCAGGACCGGATTTGGCTATAGCGAAATGGCAGTTGCCAAACGACAGCCAAAATTACCACATAAGATAACCTGGTCATGCAACACTGCGCTTCTCCAGCGCTGACATTCAATAAACCCACTCGCTGCAAAGTATTCGTCAAATACGATCTCGCCCTGTAGCTCACAGCCCTATCACCCCAGCCCACTATTTCCTCCGTTTTCCCATCACTTTACATCGAGCGCACAACACGCGGCACAAATCGAACGATGCAACTCTCCAAGTGTCTTCAACATCTGATTCACTGCCGTAGTGTCTTGGCATAGATCTGAGCTCTGATTTGTCTTGGGGATGGATGGATGGTAAAGGCACTACATACTGATTACTCCGTACAGCCAAGACAGACTGGTGTAAAGGAGACGGAGCGATTCCCAAAGTGGAAAAATAATAACATGGAGCACCGCAAGACAAATAAGAGAGAATTAAGGGAGGATAATTATATTATCTGAATTGGTTCTACCTGAGAGACCGACGACCAGGATTCTAGTCTGTTTTTTTTTCTGTCCTTCTCCCGTTTTTGATGTAACTAATTTTGAATTGTGGAATGCCAAAAAAGTAAAATTTAAACAAAACGTGCGCGACAGCCGAGAGATGCAAGTGAGGTCGTGTGTAGTGACGCGCCTGGGGTATCTGTAACCGATGTTTGGGTATATTGTATTAGTGGTGGTGCTGTTGTGTGATTCATAACACCGAGAGTAATTTCTCATGATGTTCGTGTCGTGTCCGGTCATCAATATGTTGTAAAATCATCTCCTTTTTGTCTTTTATTAGTTCTGGTTGATTTAAATGGTTCCTTCGGGTCTTTGGTCGATGATATTAAGATGCTCTTGTGCCCACTCAGGTACTCGGCGGGGTGGTGTGCGGCTTCTCGGATCTCCAAGATGCACCGGCCGACTACTCGTCGAGCCGAGGGCAACTAGTGCTTGCCATTCTCTCCATAGGAGCACGAAGAAGTCTTGTATGACTTGTGGGCATTAGAGTAGGACGAGCTGCTCTTGGAGCTAGACCCGTAGGGGGACGACATCTTGACCGAGTTCTCCTTGGAGGACTTGGACTTGGACGACTTGTGCGCCTTCGACTCGTTGCAGTAAGTGACAGACTGTCCAGAAGAGGGCATGTCGGTCGTCTAACAGAGGTAGGATCGCTCTTAACGTTGTTACTGTTAGTCGTCTAGCTCACTTGTGCTGTTGGCATGGAGAAGACTAGAAGTAGTCAAAGGCGTCGGCGTGACTGCACTTGTATAGTTGTTGGAAGCTTTGCGAGGGACAACTTAAACAAAGTAAGTCCACAAAGAAGTAGTAACACCTACTGTCTTTGGTGAGGCGGTAGTTGGAGCTTGAAAGACAACTTCGTGATATCAATATTCAGATTAGCTAAAGGTTGACAGATGATGCTCGTTTCGCGGGATGGATATGATTTCTTTCTTCATTTTTGTCAAGAACATCATCAATAGAACATCGTCGTTTATAAGTAAAACAACACACACTGCAGTCCTTCCTCTCTTGTTCTCTCTGCCTCCACATTCCCTCTCCATCCACATTCCCTCAACATCTTCCAGTGAGCCTTGAGACGGAAAGTCGAGCAGGGTATTTTCGTCTTCACTGTAGGACTGACTACTTTTCGCGGATAAGATGACTGAAAAACGAGAAGAAGTGCCCAAAAATAGTCGAAAAATATTAAAAAGGGCCGTTTGGGTGAATATAGTCCTTGATATCGCGACATTGGTAAACAAAGAAAATCGCAAGAGCTGCATATGGAGGTGCATCGATATTGGTGCTCCCTGACCAGTAATCCCTTGCCGTGTTCCCCAGAGCGAAGGTCAGATCGCAAATAGGCCAATCAGAGAGTCCAATTTCCCCAAGCTGATGAAACGAGCGCGGACAGCACTGTTGTAAGTGGCAAAAAAAGTGAACAACGTTCTTTGTTTACTTAAAGTGGTAGCCTTGCCGTTGCGTCACATTGGCAGTGAACAGCTGCTGATGCATTTTGGGCTGCGCGCCTCTGCCGTGTTGTCGACACCCCTTGTGTTAAACGTAACCTGCTTAAATGCCATAAACCACCTCTATGCACGTTAGAAACCTGCTCTCCATCCAACAGACACTTCTCCGCGTTCATAGATCGCCTCCAACAAGCGATATGAATGGTCTTGCATGCGAGCTTGTGGCGTTTTTACAGTATTCTCTTTATCGACTACAACATATAAAGTGAATGAATGCTTGCTTTGCCTTTATTTTGACTCTGATCTTGTCCCATATTTTCACGACAGTGATGTTAACTCTCTTCTCGGCATTTAGCTTCTGTCTCCAGATTCTTGTGGCCGACACTTCAGACTTTTGAATACCAACTCACTGCGATCACTTGAGTCCTCTGGTAGAGCTGCGCGAAAGTATGTCGTCCGATGCCACCAAAAATGGCCCCCCCAACCCGCTTCTGTTCCCCCGTCCCTGCATATTTTTAACCATTTTACGGCTCTCATAGGACTCAGTAGGACTACATTTTCTGCCTTGTCTTTGTTCTCGTAAGTCTAATATTTACTTGCATGATCCTGCAACGGTGCTGCGTTCTGTCGCAACTGCGTCAGGCATCTGGATACATATCTTGCCTAGTACCGGTCATCGACTGAGGAATTCGACTCGGGTCAGTCAGACGCCTAAGATTCTCCTGAAATAAATGCTCTTGATAGAGTTCAAACACGACTCACACTCTCAAAACCTCAACTTTTATTTCGTCGGTCGTCGTCTCCGTGCTCTTCAAACCAAGACAGGCGGCCTCTTTTCGCCAACAACATATTTCTATTCGTACGCCAACTTGAAAAAGGTGTCGAGATATTTTTGGATTTCGCCAGTGACGACTTTCCAAATCAAATTTACAAACTCATAACGGAAATTCTCGCGTTGTAGAGCGAGAAACCCACGGTTGCAAACGAAGTCTCACTCACCCGACTCCCGACCTTGATCACCAGACCGCTGCCCAGCGCTTCACTTGACGCCGTTCAGCACCTTCTCACGATTCGCTTTGCTATGGCCAGAAACAAGCATACAATACCGAAACCGCCATACTTTACTCGGGGACAACATCGCGATCCGGTTTATATTTCACGAATTTCCATTTCCCAATCTCTTAGTTTCACGGTTATGCGGCGGACGCTTTCTTCTTTCTACGACACGGTTCAGCGCTCGACGCCTTCATGATGTTGAATTGAAGTTGCTTCGCAACACTCTGAAGCTCAAACGTGGACTCCGACGTACTTGCTCCGCATTTGCTGGTTTACTGATGCCTTGCCAAGACCACTACTTCGCTGGCGCACTTTGCAGCCGCAAACAGGTCCGTTGCAGCGGCCATTGTGTTCTATCCTTGCTTGCTGTCCTTCCCCGGCACCATTTAACATGACTTGTAGTCGCTAAAGAGCATTCAGCCCACCGCACAGCCACAGTTGTCTCTCCACTGTCCGGCTGCGCCGAACATTACGTCTGTTTCGGCGCGAACCTGTTCACTCTTGCGTCATTTGGCGCCGCTGACCAGCTTCAATGAGCCGTTATTAGCCACCAAAATGGCCCTAGCTGTATAGCGTACTGGCAATCTGTATCCTGACGTTCCCGCTGTCGTTCGGCCGGCTATTGGTAGGAAGTTACTTGTCTGCCGATATATCGGCCGCAACTGGTCATATTCTCCAGAGTGTTTTCCTGACATTTTGCTTGTCCTTTTTAGTCGGGCATCTACTCTGGTTGCAGTATACCGACCGTCCAATTTTGGTGCCAGCTCTTTTCCGCTTAGCACCAATATCGCCCAATACATGCAGACGACCGCATCGCGCAGAGTCGATATCGGACTGCTGCATTCCGAAGTGTACGGTCGCCTGCCGCGTCTTCGAGGTTACCTATCCGTGCCATCCCCCATCTTCCCAGGCCTCCAACGCCTCCAAATCTATCACTCGTCGACCCGCAGTACAAGTGCACGCCACACTGCCGATGCACTGCCAATAGACGTCAGAAGAGCAACCGTTTCTGCCAACTTTGACCTTGGTTGAAAGACGCATGTACGACATATTTACAGCGGGTCAGCGCCAATAGCCGCCAAGCTGCCCCGCCCAGATATTCCTATCTTACCACCAGCTCAGCCTCTCCGTCTTTTGCGCCATCAAGTTCTTTTCTGCCTGGCCGCCAACAACAACGTATGCCCAGCCCTTCAGCTCCTTCGGGCAAGGCTTGATGCAGGATGCCCAGGCGCCGAACGCCAACTTCCATAGTCTAGACCGAATAAAACAGCGTCAACAGTGTCACCGATTCATTCGTCTTCCCCAGTTCATCTTCCTTCTCAACGGCCGCCAGTCTTGACGACGACCCTCATTACCATCGTGCTGCTTCAAGCGAACCCGGCGAAACAGACTCTGGAGATGTCCTACCATCCTCCTTACGGCCGTACGTATAAGTCACACTTTGTCCTCCATCTGTGCCGCTCACGCGTGCTCTCAGGCCGTTGGCAGTTTCCCCTGCGACTGCCCCTCTTCCCCATGTTCTGTAGCTGGTCGGGGTGCGCCTGCCTCTTTCTCCCTTCCCGACCAATGCGACTTGCACGAAACTGCATCTCTCTTTATTGCATCATAGCATATAAAGCGACCGCATACTAATGCCATCGCAGAAGGGCCACCACCGCAGGGTGGCGGATACTACCAGCAACCGCCTCCGGGCCAATACCCTCCCCCGCAGCAGGGCGGCTATCCTCCCCAGCAGTACGGCGCACCTCCTCCACAGCAGCCTCCGTACGGCGCACCACCACCAGGCCAATACGGCGGCTACCCCCAACAGCCACCGGCTCCTTACGGCCAGCACCCGCCTCCTCCGCAGCAGGGACCATACGGCCAGCAGCCTCCCTACGGCCAGCAGCCCCCCTACGGCCAACAACCGCCCTACGGACAGCAACCCCCATATGGACAGCCGCAGCAGGGCCCCCCACCGCCGGCCGGCTACGGACCACCGGGCGGTGGTGGTGGCGGCTACGGCGGCGGCGGCGGGTATGCGGCCAATGTGCCGCCCACACCGCCGTCGGTCGGCTACGCCGGTCCGCAGTCCATCAACTGGGACGCCAGCCACGATGCGCATGCGCTGCGCCAGGCCATGAAGGGCTTCGGCACGGACGAAAAGGCCCTGATTCGCGTGCTCGCGGACAAGGACCCGCTCCAAGTCGACGCCATCCGCAACACCTACCACCGCCTGCACAACCGCGACCTGGTCAGTGACATCCAGTCGGAGACCAGCAGCTGGTTCGAGTACGGTCTGGTCGCGCTGTGCCGCGGCCCCCTGCTCAACGACGTGCACATGCTGCACAGCGCCATGAGCGGGCCCGGCACCAAGGAGTCGATGCTCAACGACATTCTGCTGAGCCGCTCCAACGCCGACCTGCGCGCCATCAAGGGCCTGTACCAGCAGACGTACCGCCGCTCGCTCGAGGACGCCGTGCGCGGCGAGCTCAGCATGAAGACGGAGCGCCACTTTATGATTGTGCTGCAGGCCACGCGCGCCGAGGACGCCGCGCCCGTCCAGAAGCACGAGGTCGACCGCGACGTCCAGGAGCTGTACAATGCCACCGAGGCCAAGCTGGGCACCGACGAGATCCGCGTGTGCAGCATTTTCAGCACGCGCAACGACAACCACCTGCGCGCCGTCGCCTACGAGTACCGCCAGCGCTACGCCCGCGCCCTCGAGGACGTCATCCGCAAGGAGTTTTCCGGCCACATGGAGGACGCCCTGCTGTTCCAGCTGCGCCACGCCACCGACAAGTACATGCACCAGGCCGCCCTGCTCGAGGACGCCATGGTCGGCTCCGGCACCCGCGACAAGCTGCTCGTCAGCCGCGTCGTGCGCGTCCACTGGGACCGCGCGAACCTGGCCAACGTCCGGGGCGCCTACGAGAAGCGCTACGGCCGCAGCCTGGCCCAGCGCATCCGCGGCGAAACCAGTGGTGACTCTGAGCGGTTGCTGCTGGCGTGTCTCGGTGAAAGACACTAAGCAAAAAGAGAAGAGTACATTGTATGATTCAGATGGTCTCCAGGATTTGTGGTTTGTCGGATAGCTCTTCTTGGGTTGCAATTTTAATTGTCTTTTATTTTCACATTTTCACATTTTCACTGTTTCTCGATATGCCATGTATCCCACGCTTCATGTATTTCACGTCTCCACAGTCTTGCATAATCAGCTTATTAACTGTCTCGCTGTGTCGTGTTGTGTCGCCATGATGAAGTGCTTGGGATGCTTTTGTGTCGCACTTGCGTGATCGATGTGCGCAGTGTAAATTACTGCTGCAGGCCGCTATGGTACGAGCATAGTACGCTATAACATTAATTGCCATGCTAATACTCCGTAAATTTAGTAACAGCGGCTCCAAATTGAATAGTATCAGCGCAAAGCCGAGGTCCCACTTTAACCATTTTATCTGGTGGCAACTTAGCAAATCACACGCTATGATTGGTGGTGTCTCGTTCGTTTTTGCAACTCCCTCAGAAATTCGTCTTTGATTATCCGCGTCTGAAAGTAGCGTGGATCTCACAACAATCTGAATACACACGGCATGATATGCCGCCGTGCTGCTCGTTGCGGTTGAAACGCGGGACTGGCCAGTCTCGAATGGCTGTGACGAGAATAAGGATTGGGCAGCCGTTTTACCTCGAACTAATGCCTCTCCCTTCAGCCAAGTGGATACGTTATTCCCATTTTAGTACATAATATAACCACGCTAGAATGTACTCGGCTAGCGCCATTCTTTTCTTTGTATAATTACGAGTTTTTCCGTGTATTCGGACCCCATTTGAAACCTCCAACATACATGTTTCGCTCTCATGGTTGGTGCAAAAGTCGGTATTTCTAGCGGACAACCCTGTATCTTATTAATTACTACGAAAGCATAAGCCCCAACGAATACTTCTAGACGGTCGCTACGAAGGCCATTCTACTTAATTATCACGCTTTCTTACCCAATCGTACTTCGTGTTCCGTACTTAATCTCCATTCTTTTTTAACCCTGTCTCGCTTCACCTCTTCACGGCCGCGGTCTGCAACATCATCGAGCGTCCACGAACCAACGACAAGAACCGTTTGCGCCGTCGTGTCGGCGCATGATTGCTTCACGCTTTTCAGTTTTAGCGATTATCATTACCGTCGTTACAGACGTACTTGGCTTGCCCAGATCCCGCGGTTCTCAGCATCGTTATTTCGAGATTTTCTCACAAATATCTCGTCACGCGTCACGTACCACAGACAAGGCTGTGAGAGCTATTCGCACCTTCCTGCAGCTCATGCACGTTCTCTCCTGCTTCTAACTGCTTTCCTACATTTCATAAAATTCATTTTTACGTGCCCCTTTTTGTCCCTTGGACGCTGCCGGTTGAAGTTGCCCGTTTTGTCCAGTTTCTTTTGTTTCGCAACAGACTCCATCGCGCCTTCCGCGTTGTCACCAGTGAGACGTTTTTGAACACGCCAAAGCAAAAATCCCCTTCCCTGAACATTATTTGGATCCTTTTTTTTCTTGGCTTTCATCTTTTCTGCTATTCTGCAGCTCCTCGTTGAAGCTGACCAAGCTTTCACCCGTCGTCGTGTTTGCGCCTCACTCTGCCTGCGCTCACTTATCGTTGACGGCGCGGACTTTCGCGACAATCCTGACATGACTGATTTGTTCTCTCGGCACAAAACATCGCTTGAACGCAAAACACAATTGCTTTACGAGACGACGACACGGCGGATGGACGAGCAGTAGTTTTGCTTGCAGTCTGACTGGCATTCTCTCACTTCCGAGCCAATCCTTGCATTTGAGACTCTGGCGCTACGGCGCGCATCAGGCTCAACTGACAAGATGTCCGGACCCAGCCCCTCCCCGGCCGGAGCATCGCCGGCTGGGGGAAGTGTTGCACCCGGTGCGGCTTACTCTTCCCCGCCCAAGCGGTCTCCGGCTCTTGCAACAACGCATGTGCCTCCTCCAACAACACAAGCTGGCCTTGTTCGTAGCACAGGCGCCAGTGTCGCACCGACAACCCTGACGACCGGGGGATCACCATCTATTATGCCATCGTTGCGGCCGGCAACAAGTTCTGTACCCCTTTCGACGCCGACGCTACCAGTTTCGGGTCCAGCTCCAGTTCCAGTCCCAGCATCAGCCACGCCGGCCAAACCGACACCGGCTCCGGCCCCACCGGCCCATGTGCGGGCACTGTCCTCCGTATCGTCACCAAGTCCGTCACAAGCAACGCCATTGCAGCCTTCACAACAGCGTTCTAGTTTAGACGTCGATGCCGTTGAAAAAAGACGGCAGGATCTGACACAACAGAGCCAACAAGGCCAGCGCGCACAAAGCATGCCTCGGCAAGTGCAAGTACCAACCTCGCAGCCTCCCCAGCAGCAATATGCTTGGAAGCCTTCACAACTGTCACCATCGCCACAGCCATCGCACCCGGCGAACCAGCCTTTACCGCACAGTCACCAACCACAACGGCCGCCGCATGCTCCAGTTCGGCCACCAGACCCAGTCATAAGTCGCCGTGCGCCCATTGTTAACCGACCCCCGCAAGGTCCTCCTCCGCCGGCTCCTCCACGTGTCGAGCCGATTTACTCGGATCCCCGCGGCGGTATCCCGCATCCGTCACCGGGACACGACTACGCGCGGGAGAACCCCAAGATCCAGGAGGACTATATGCGCCTGACCTTTGCGATCGAGCAAAGCGTGTCAGCTGCTGTCCGGTGTGCAATACGCCAGAACTGGCAGAAGTGTCTTATGGGTACCAGCTTCCACCAAGGCTTTATGGTACGAGTTGACATCTGTTCCTTCATTTGATTTTTATCTCTGGCTAACTCTGAGATTTTCCTTTCCTTGCCTACTAGCTCAACGCGCTTCTTGATAGTGCTCCGGCAGATGTTGCAAAGGGCTCCATTAAGGATTTTGGAAGACGAGTAGTGAAGATTGCGCGAGCCGAGTTCGTGTCACATCTGGACACGGCGGACATTGACGAGATTGCCGGTATCATCCTGGCCAAGGCCAGCAACCAGTTTCTCGACGCGGCACTCGAAGCTCGATTGCGTACAATCGATGCGAAGCCGCTGATCAATGCTCTTGCGCGTGCTGAGCGGCTTGGCTACGAACCGGACGACATTGTTGAAGAGCCCGTCGGTGGACAAGAACGGGTCATCCCGCAGAATGTGCCAGAACCTCCTCCGCCAACATCTGGGCCAGCACCGCCGCCTATGAAGCAGTGTCGAATGTGCAACCGGGTCTTTGATAAGGAGCCACCTTATGTTTATGTGAGTCGTCCGGATGAGTTCTGGCCACCAGCGTATGTGCTAACAAATGAATTTCTATGTAGCATGTCGCAAACCAAGTTTGCATGCAGCGGCCTGAAGGCCAAGAAGGATTTCTCTTCTCGTGCTCAAATTGTGGTCAAGGCTTTGAGAACAATTATGCCCTAACATATGTAAGTAGCACCGCGTTCTGCGTGTTGGCATAAGACCACGTAGCAGGAAGCAAGCTCTGACCTCGACACCTAGCACAACTCTACTGGCGCCTGCTCAAAATACGAGACACGGAATGATGCTCTCCCGGCGCCAAAGCCTCCGGCAACAATGCCATCGACAGCATGGCCTTCAGCCACGATGTCCCCGGAGCCGACAGCGCACGGCGCTGTAGGTGGTAATTATGGCCAGTCAAAGGAAAGTACCTTCCCGGCAGCACGATCAACGGCCACTCCTGTCCGCATGATTCAGTCGCAACAAACAGGTTCGCCGTCGGGTCCTGGACTGAAAACGCCCACCTCCGACCCGTATGCACACCTGTCCGAGGCACAGCTCGCGGCGCTGAACGAAGAGCTTCAAAAGGCAGAGAAGATGTACACCGAAAAGTTCCGCGAAGCAGAAGAGATTGTCGACCTGGCCGAGCGACAGACGATCATCGGCAACCTAAAGAACTCGTTTGGCACGAGACAGTCCATCATCCGGAAAAAGTGGGGCGTACGGCTGCGCGAACGTCGCACCAAGGCCGAAATTGAGGCGGAGAAGGCGCGCATGGGCCTGCTGCGTGGCGCCAAAGACAGCTCGCCGGCCACCGGTAGGTCGTATGGCAGCCGGTCGACGCCCACCTCGTCGCAAGCCAACGGTACCAGTTACGATTCCGTAAAACGCATGCGCACAGACGATGGCACGGGCTCGCAGCATGGCACGGGCTCGCAGCATGGCACGGGCTCACGGGGCTCGTTTGACGCATCGGAGCCCAAACGAAAAACACCTACGCCGGCATATCACTTGCTTGAGACGCCCCGCGCGCAACCGCTGCCGCGACCCGTGGCCAACGATGACGACAACGCCAACAATTCGGACTCGTCATCCGACAACGACGATATCCCGGCCCGGCTACCCGACTCGGTGCGGCAGAGTTTGAGTGCGAGCCAGCGGTTGTAGACCGGCGCTGGAGGATAACCTTTGCTGCGCTTGATGAAAACAATGTTTTTTTTTTTTAGAAGGAGAAGGTGGTCTAAAATATGATATTCGGGAAAGTGAGAGAGGCATTTTAATTATGACATCCATCATTCAGCTTATCTTACACGGGATAGTTTACAAAAGGAGTTGAAATGTTCGGGCAGGCTTTACCAAATGATATCAATTTAGAACCATTTAATGAGTGTAATTTCTATTCGAAGTCAATTTGGCAAAAAAAAAAAATAACACAAAAAAAAAATCATTGGCACTGTGAAGAGGAAGAGTTATTTGTTTTATGTTGCCTTACCCTGTTTCCTGCTTACGGCTGACGCGCAATTTTCGACACCACCCCATCCAGTGTAACATTACTGAGTTAACTTGTGCAAATAAACAATACCGAGTGGTTTTGGCGTGTGCAGAATGAAGAGGACGGGTGGAGATGTGGCATGAAACAACGCCCAATTGATGACCGCATCTTGTCGTCGTTGACGAATTTGATACAACCAACGAAAATCGGGTCATGTGAGAGGTAACTCTTTCGTCTACATTGCATGTGTAGTATTCCAATATGACAGGGAGGCGTAATTACTCGGTATACATGGAATACGACTCTTCGTTTCTTTTTATCCATTCAGCTCTTGAAGTATGTGAGAGTAAGGGAGATGACGCGTCGACAGGCTACCCACAAAGGATGTCCTGTCTACACGCCCGTCCGCAGTGGATTTAGGTAAGCCTCGTTTATGGCGTAGTGCCCGTTCATTGCACCTCCGCATCCCACGCAACGCCGACAGTGGGTGGCGCCGGGAAGATCCTTCTGCTAACGCCGTATGTTGTACATTTGCGCTGGGTAGGGCAGGATGTGTCACAGGGATGCGGAGGGGCAAGTTAGACTAAGCATTCGATGCTGCTTCTGGACTTGCAGACTATGACTGACGTACGTTGTATGCGTAATGGCTGATTCGGACGAATGCCTTCAACTGGTTTCAGTCTGTGCCGCTGCACAGCAATAACGAACGGGACGAAGCTTAACAAGACCAGTGGTGGAAGCGAGGGCCGTCTAAAGCAGCCAAGGAGCGACAGGGGGATGACGGACACGCAAAGAGCGAAGGAGTGGGCGGCATGGAAGGCTGTGGGCACGGGCGGCACAGGACGCCCCGTTTGTCGATGAAGGAAAAGAGAGGAAGAGAGACAACAAAACTGCCCCAAAAGATGGTTTGCTAAATTGTACACACCCGACCAGATGAAAGCATCGCAGTTGGTTGCTTTTGCCTCCTGTCCCCTACTGTTTGACCTATGGTTACATGGCGATTAATATAACGACGACGAGACGGACGAAACACGAGGCTCAGGTGATGGTATTGCACCTTCCCGTGTCCGACACGCGAATGGTTTACATTTCTTGGCCCTGGAGAGGTTCTGGTTTGAAGGGACGGCTGAATACACCCTGTCTACAAACGACAATTGCCGTCATAGCGTGTGGCTAAGATAGGACACGACAGAAGAGTGTATGGGAAGCAACCAAACCACAAAACCACAAATAGCGGAATGTGCGGATAGAGAGTGCCGTCTCGCGCTCGCATCGGTTCTTGGTTGCTGTCTTTACGGAGTGTTGTTTCTACCCTGCTTTGTGCCGGGCTTCCCCTCCTCTTTGCACAGAGGATCTCTGTTTGGTTTTGATAAACGGTGCGCCGTCCCCAGCCTGCGCATCGCATTTTCTTTTCTATTATTTTTAGTCTTTCGCCGTTCTGTCGCCGATTTGTGTGACATAAAAGGGGGCAGGCATCCTCAAAACAGAAACAAAATACGACGTATCTACTGAGACCACGAACTACTGGAAACACCACAATCCCCACGCAAAGCCATCTCCGATAGGAACCAAAGGAATTGACAAAAAGGAAGGAGAAAAAGACACTGCCAGAAAACCGACTCAGCGGATCAACCAAGAACAACAGCACGAGACGCCGGCAAACGCATGGCAGCCAGCGAGCAGCTCGCTCTCTCAGCCTGAAAAGCGACGATCAGGGGACGAACCTGCAAATGGCGACAAGAAACAACAAATAAGTGATGAGCCGTTGAAGTGGTCGCTACCAAAAGTCCACAGCCTCGCCAAGGCAGCGTCCTGTGCGCCACCTTGGACGAGATAGCCTAGATCTTGATCTGAAACGAAGACGATCCTTACCTTGTTGTGTAGAGAAACATTTCATCCCACGCCACGCATTATTTCTCAACAACATTTACGAACATCGGCGACGAGAACAGAAATTGCAGCCTTGCCGTACGCAACGCTCAATCATGGGCAACCCATCAGAAGAGGTGTCCGCTCCAGCGCCGCCGCAAGACGACACCGCAGTTGCACCGGCCGCACCGGCGACAACGGCCCCAGGATACCCACAAGACACAGCGGAAGGCGGATCAGCAGAGTCGGAGACACGATCTCTCAGCAGTTTCTCGGTTGGACTAAGTGTATGTTGTGTGCATCTTGTGGTCATTGGATGGCGCCGATGCATCAACTGACAGCAATGCAAAACAGATCGACACAAACGACGACGATGCCATTTCCAATCTTGGAGAGATGGATACCTCGTACGTTGTTCTTCTACCAGTTTGGACACCGTCTTCTTCCACTAACAACACAGCCGCTCGAGCATCTCGGCATCGTCAAGCGTCTACGAATTTGTCGAGGAGTACGGACGAACGTATCACAAATACAAGGAAGGAAGTAAGTGGGAGGGCGTCTAAAGCATCGTTGTCTCTCTGTGAGCTGTACGCTGACGATTCTAGAGTATTTATTACCAAACGACGAGGTGTGTCACGATCATAAGCTCAAGTGCACCAAGCACACCAAGCACACCAACCAACATACGAAACTTACCCCAACTTCTTTCCACAGCAAGAACAGAACCGTCTCGACCTGCAGCACCACCTAGCCACCCGACTGCTCCAAGGCAAGCTCTACCTGGCGCCCATTGGCAACGTCAACCGCGTGCTCGACATTGGCACTGGCACCGGCATCTGGGCCGTCGAGTTCGCCGAGCAGCACCCCGAAGCCGACGTCCTCGGCACGGACCTCAGCCCCATCCAGCCTGAATATGTGCCGCCCAACCTGCGCTTCGAGGTTGACGACGTCGAAGACGACTGGGTCTACAGCCACCCGTTTGACTTTGTCCACGGCCGCTACATCCTGCCGTCGCTCCGCAACCCGCGCGCCACCCTGCAGCGCATTTTCGACCATCTGCGGCCGGGCGGCCACGTCGAGATCATGGAGACGCTCATGGTCATCGAGGCCATCGACGCGTCCCTGCAAAACACCGTGCTGCCGCGCTGGCACCAGCTGATCCTCGACGGCGTGCGCAAGCTGGGCCGCGGCGACCCCATGGCCCCGCTGCACACAAAACAGTGGCTCGGCGAGATTGGCTTTGTTAATGTCACGGAAAAGAAGTTTGCCGTGCCGGCCAACGGCTGGGCCCGCGGCGACGAGCAGAAGATCCGCGGCCACCTGATGATGACGAACCTGCTGGAGGCGGCGCAGGGCATCACGATGAGCATCTGCATGAAGGTCTGGGGCTGGAGCCAGGAGGAGGTCGAGCTGTTCCTGGTCGACGTGCGGGCCGCCCTCAAAGACCGCGCCCACCACGGCTACGTCCCCATGTAAGTCGATTCCCCAGCGATGTCGCGGCTTGGTGGCCGGAGCACTGACATGAACATCGTGAAGCATTTGCGTCTATGCCCAGAAACCGGAATGAGAGATGTGGTGACACTGTGACATTGGCGAGGGGGAGGGGAGTTGGCGCGTTCTTCCATCTGCTTTGGAACGTTCTGTATTCTGTGTTCTGTGCTTCCTGAATATGATTATGATTTATCGGTGTGTATCCGGTCTTCTTTCTTTGCCTTCTCTTTGCAATTTTTTTTTTCGTTTCTTGTCGTCTCTTTGGTCTTGTACAAGGTTAGCATAGCGACAACGTGGGCGTACGAAGACCGAGGAGAGTGTCCTCTGTATGTCAAAGTCTGAAACGAAAGGAACTGTCTGTGAGACTCCACGCGTCGTTTCCGGGTGGTGATGGCACAACATGTCATCTTTGCGAATGGTCGTTCTGTTTGACAGCTTTGCATTGGGTCGTGAAGTCCTCCAAATTTGTGTTGTTCGCCCTTTCCATTTGACGTCCTCCCCATTTGTATTGATCGCCCTTTCCTCTTCTGGACAGTCCCCCCAATCTGCATGTTCGCCATTCTGTGCCCAGAAGTCGTTATCTAGCTTCAGTCCCTCTTGCTATCCGGTCCCTTATTTTCTTTTTTGTTTTCTCATCAACGCATCTGTGCGATTTCTCGACGACCAGCATTCTTCGTCACATCGAGTGTCACTGGCGCGAGCGCCTGGACCATTGACCCACTGTATCTCCAACACGTGCGAGGTCTTTCGCTCTTACCAGTACGTTTTGGCGTTATCTCCAAGAACTGAAGCGAAATCCACACGAATGACTTCACATCGTTGACAACCGCCAATCCGTCCACATCCAGCGACATCCTTCATATTTCGTTGTTTTTCGAGACGCATCGCCGACTATTGACTCTTGTCACGACCGGGGTAGTTCGTCCTCTCACGACATCCAGCTTTGGCTTCATTCCAATCTCCACAGCTGCGGCACGCACCCCAACGACTACCTCCGCAATGGCGTCCACCGGTCTTGTCGAGTCGTTTGTGGCCGCGATACAAGCAAGCCTCTCGGTCCTGCTCGTCATCTTTTACGGTGGCATCGCTGCCTATCTGGGCCTCCTCAAGTCCAGCAGCACAAAGGCCATCTCCAAAGTCTGCGTCCGCCTCTTCCTGCCCGCGTTGCTCTTTACAAAGATTGGCGCCGAGCTGCACAGCGGATCGGCCCATCGCTACGTCGTCGTCCTCGCCTGGGCGCTCGTTTGCCATGCCGTGTCCTTTGTGCTCGGCATGGCCGGCCATTTGCTGCTGGGCATGCCCGACTGGACCACGGTCGCCGTCATGTTCAATAACACGACGAGCTACCCGCTGCTCCTGATTGGCGCGCTCGACCAAACGGGCATCCTGCAGGTGCTTGTGGATGCGAGCGGCGCTGATGAGACGACGCGCGAGGCCATAGAACGCGCCAAGTCGTACTTCTTGGTGTTCTCGACCGTCTCGAGCTGCCTGACCTTTGCCGTTGGACCGCGGCTGATGGACTCGGAGCATGCGCCGGAGCCCGACAACGTGACGGACGACGACGATGAAGGGAAAGATGACGTTCTCGACATACAGGGTCCGAATGACACCAATGCCGATGCCGATGACGAGGATGGAGACGAGTACGACGAGAACAACGACAACGGTCGCGACGTGTATGACGAAGAGGAGGGTGGTGACGACGGTGCCAATGACGTCGTCCGTCCCGCATCGAGCGTCGGTGGGTACGATCCACTGTCAGCGGCCCCGCCCATCGAGTATGCGCCCGTCAACGAAACGACAGGGCTGCTCTCGCGCGACGAAGCGGCCACCGGCGACCACGACAGCCTAACAAAGTCCTCGTTCCGCCAGTCCATCATTCGTTTTGTCGACCCCTTTGCGTCTTCGTCGCGGCCGCACAACTCCTTCTTTCCCTCGACGCGGCACCGCAACAAGTCTCCCTATCCCGCGAATGCGTCGACGTCGATCTCGTCGTCCGCCATACACGCCGACGACCACAACCGTCGCCGGGTCTCTGTCGTGCCTCGCTCCACCTGGCGCTCCCTCGGCCCGCGCACCCGCTGGTGGCTCCTGTTCATTGCCGACTTTTTCAATGCGCCGCTCCTTGGTGCGCTCGCCGGTGCCGTCGTCGGCCTGACGCCGACACTACACCGCGCGTTTTTCAGCCCGGCGACGGATGGCGGCGTCTTCACGGCATGGCTGACAGCCTCCCTCGACGACATTGGCGGGCTGTTTGTGCCGCTGCCCGTCGTCGTGGCGGGGGTGTCGCTCTACACGGCAATGGGGCAGGCTAAGAAGACGGAGAGCAAGCGTCCCAGCCAGCAGAGCGAGAGTGCAGAGGTCGAAGCAGCCGGGCACGACGATGGTGGGAAAAAGCTGCCGCTTGGCGCTGTGACGTACATCTTGGTTCTGCGTTTTGTGCTGTGGCCTCTGGCCTCCATTGCTGCGATCTATCTGCTGGCGTCGAGAACAGAACTTGTCGGCGACGACCCGATGCTATGGTTTGCTCTGATGCTGATGCCGACAGGCCCGCCAGCAATGAAGCTCATCACGCTGGTGCAAGTCAGCAATGCCGACGAGGACGACGAAACGAGCATTGCAAAGTTGTTGACAGTGAGTCCTTCCCCTTTCCTACGGACAGACCGTATTGTGTTGGTCCAGACGCTTACCATTAGGTCTCCTACCTCATCTCGCCCATTTTGTCGTTTGCCGTTGTCGGCAGTCTACGGGCCAGTCTGGCGAGCGTGCAACATTAGAAATGGCACCTGTTCGAGTATTTCCCCTTGATATGATTTGTCCCTCTATTTCTCCTTATTTCTTCCTTTGCAAAGTAGCACTCTAGGATGCGAAGCAGGTTCCTGGTTTAAATTCACAATTGTTCAGTCTCAAGTGCCTTCTCCGACCATACTCCGTCTTTCCATCCGTGTGACGGCAGTCTTGTTAATCCCGTTCATTCTTCCGGATTGCAAATAGGGTAGCCCCAAACAAAACCACTCTTCAGTGCCTGGACAACGTTGGCGAGCAGCTCCTGGGACTGCGGAAGCGCGCCGTCCCACTGCGCAAAGGGGTGTACCATACCCTTGTATGAAATGAGCTCACTCCAGCGGCCTACGTCCAGCAGGCGATGATGGTAGGCTGATGCCTCGCTGGCGAGCGGGTCAATCTCGGCAACGTGGATCGACGCCGCGCACACCATACGCAGGACATTGTCGGGCGCCACAATGGGCGAAGCCCGCACGTCAGCAGCGTTTTTCGCGTGCGTGTCCGGGTCCTCGCCGAGCCAGAGCCGGTAGAACCAGGCCATGCGCGCGAGCGGCAGCATGGGCGCAAAGGCAAATTCATAGTAGCTGTCGTAGGGCGCGCGCAGCGTCGACAACTCGGTGTCATCCTTGGGCACCACGAGGGGGACGTAGCGCGCGTCCGTGACGGGCACAATGAGCACCTGCAGCGTGAGACGTGGCATCGTCGGGTCCACGGCGGCCATCTGCGCCAGCACAGCGGCCAGACAGGCCCCGGCCGACAGGCCGCCCACAGCAATGAAGTCCTTGTCGATGCCAAGCTCGTCGCTGTGGTCCACGAGCCACTTGAGGGCGGCCCAGCTGTCCGTCGCGGGGACCGGATGGGGGAACTCGGGTGCCAGCCGGTAGGCTACGTTGGCCACCAAACAAGGCGTGCGCTTGCAGATCTGTCGAAGCAGGGAGTCGTCGTCGTCGAGGCCCCCGAGCACAAAGCCGCCGCCGTGGAAATTGACGTAGAGGGGGATCCTCTTGCCGTCGGCCTCGTCAAACCCCTCGGGGCGGTAGACATGGACGTGGATGCTGCCCGCCGGCTCGGTGACGGGGACGTGGTGCGTCGTGACAAGCCCGACGGGACAGAAGGGGGCGGCCACCTTCTCCCGGGGGAAGATGTAGCGCTGGCGGTCCGCGTTGAACTCGTCATAGGAGACTTGGTCGGCGCGAAGACGATTGGCTGTGCTGTTAGCAATGGGTCGGAGACGAGATGCCTCTTGCATGCTCTGCGTCAATGTCTTACCCTGGTAGTTGTTGTAGATTTCCTTGACCTTGTCGTCGAGAAAGCTCTCGACAGACGGGTGAAGTGGGTTGATAGGAGCCGTGCGGTCGGTCCCGGACACTGTGATGTTCGTCATCGTCGGGCGTTTTGGGAAACGCCGTTGCTTACAAGGTTGTATTTGGGTCTTTGCAGAAGCTACGTAAGCCAGTGACTGGACTTTAGGTTAGGCTCAGGGTCTGTTGCTATAGATTCGTATTCTTCTTGACATTGAAATAGTTTGGGATAGGGATGCGGCCTCAATTTATGTTTGGAAAGCCTTTTGTTGGCCGGCTCAAGTAGTTTCCACAAACAGTGATGGGCAAGCAACACAGAGGAGAAAGGGCTATAATGTGAGGGTGAGAAGGCGCTGAGATGGATCCGATATTACAACCGACATGAGATGGATAGTGTTATGGAGGCACAGTACATCAGTTGGCGAGGTCAGAAATACAAATTGGTTCCCATGTGAATGCTCCTACGATACCGCGATCACATAGTACGTTCATATCTCTCTCATACTGCTATCAGATAGTAGATCAGACACGGCTGACCCCCACGGTACCTGTTCATGTTGGCGTTGGTGGAGCATTGTTCGGGAGTGGCTGTCTCAAAATACCATAATTCTCTACATTCAGGTCATTTGTGCATTCGGGATTGATTTGGGGGTCTGTCTTATCACCTCTTCATGATCTGCCTCCTAGAAACATCAGTGATGTCCCTCTTCATCTAAATCTACTCTGTCCAAATTGTATTCAACAGGCACTGTAACGCTTATGTCTCCAATATTCTCAGTGAGAGGCGCTGAGCGTGAAATGAACGACGCTGTTTACGTGGTCCAGCACTGCCCCGTCCACCTTGGCTGTCTCACCATTACCATTCTTGGTTGGGCCGTTGACGAACTGCTCGTGGAGAATGCACGCTTTGTCGTCGTTGCACATCTCGCCGCAGTGCTCCCAGTGCGCAGGCATCCAGCCGGCCGTACTCCAATCCAAGACAGCGACAATCCGCGGAGGAGTCGGTCCGCTCGAGCTGCCGCCGTCGTGTGCCGGGTACCGCACCAGAACGTTCGCCGCCCCCAGGCGTCCGTGGGTCAGCACGATGGGGACTTTGTTGGTGAGTTTGGCGCGGTTCTCGGCGGTCCGTATGTGTCGTCGCGCTGTATCGGCATCGTACCTGGCGGTCGGCGCACAAAGACCGCGGCTCATCGATGGCGATTTGCCAAAGTCCGTCGTCAGCCAGTCGTGGAAGGCAGCCAGGCTGGGAAAGGGTCCAGCATGTGGCGTTGCGCTGTTGATAAACTCCCAGTTCCGGAGCGGTCGGCCGTTGACATGGCCTAGCTTGTTAGTTATTGAAAGCGACAAGGCGTCTCCGTACATGATGGGGGAGGTAAACATGAGGTACCAACCAATAAACGGAATGGGCGAGACCAGAGACTGGGGGACTCGCTCCAGGGCCCTTGCAAACGACCGCAGCTGGTCGTCGTCGAGGTCCTCGAATTGCACCTTTTGGCCCTCAATGTATTGCATGTAGATGAATGTCTGCCGGCGGTTGCGGCGCCACGCGTACACTTCGGGCATAGGCACTTCTGGACAATGCTTGCGTACAAACAGCAGGGCGTGTGCCTCCGAGACGGAGACATGGTGGCCAAACTTGACGGCCAAACCCAGCTCCCGGTACATCATCACAGACGGGCGCAGGAAACCATTCGAGAGTTGCCATGCATCCGCACGTCGTTCTCTGTATTGCAAGAGACCGAGGCGCACATCGTCTGGCTTTGGCAGCTTGTCGAATCCGGTCTGTTCAAATGCCGAGCCCGGCACATTGTAGTTGTCCACAAAGGGGAAAGCAAACTGCTCTTGGGGTGCAGCCATTTTGTTGTATTTGCTCACATGTGGAGGTTGGCCGAGAAAGCTGATAATGTCAGATTCAAGATATCTGGGGAGCGAACAATAGGGAGCGAGCAATTTTTTAGCTATGTTAATGTACTGAAACTGAAGATAAACTGCTTCCCTGTTAAGGAATATCAGAAGTTGTGTGACGGATGTTCTTGTTGTAAGTAAATTCTGACCGATGGGGCGAAAAATACCCTCAGTGAAGTAATTCGCTTTATTAATTTTATTGACTGGTAATTTTACTCCTTTTCCGAAACACCAACAGTGTATGTAAACTCGTGAAATATTTCAGTTTATTGTTTTCAATATTGGATATTACCAGTGCCATTGCAGCACGCCGCACCGGCAAGCACGAGACCTGTAAAAGAAGAAGAAATCGACACAGCAGGACACCCGATGCTAACCATCGCCAACGAACCGTTCCAAGACATTCTTCTCGGCATTGTTCACGACGACCGACAAGAGGAAATGCTTGACCGGGGCATCAACTGCTCCTACGGTTTGTGCTCGCCCCCGATGTTCTGTGTCGGGGGCCGACACGCGCGCAGCAGACTGTGGCCATCAACACGGAGCTGGCTGCCTTTGATAACGAGACAACCCTTCGTCGACGACCGAGGTCAAACGCAGTGCCTAGCACTTTAGTTAACGGTCGACAAGATGCTCTGCCGTGTCGGAAGGGAGCGGCCAGGCCTGCTGCTATGCGACAACTACCCGGCTGTCACACGCACGTGTCCGGCTATTGACGACACGGTCGGCCGCGAAATTATTGGCAGGCCACAGAGGACACTTGGTTGCCGTACGGCGCCGAGCAGCACGAGTTGTCAGACGCGCTTCAGGAACGAACGCGTTGCGGTAAGTCGAGATTGCAGAGTGAGAAATGAATCGAACGGACTAACAAAGTGGTAGCCAAACGGCATTGCTGGCCTCGACTTGCCGATGTTGGTTCTGATGTCAAATTGTCGGCGGTACGACGGCCAGGCTCGTTCGTCCCCAGCTTTGGCGGCGAGCTTCGGACATTGTACGGTCAGGTTTGGTTCTTCGTATATAGACACGAAACCGGCTGTAAGATTGGACTGGCGGCCTCTCTTGGTTTTAGGTGTGTCACAACATACGAGATAACATCAGCCGGGCGTTGAGTCAGGTCAAAGAGGAAGAATAAAAATGAAAAATAAATAAATAAACGGACGTAAGATAGAAGAGGGAACACGGAGAAAAACACCACTTGGATTGGATAGAAAACGAGAACGACGGTCATGTCCGTCACGCTCATCGAAAAGAGTCAACTGGCCGATGCTGCGTATGTCTCAGATCGTTGGGAGGCACCCTAGCCCTGTCAGTAAGGTCAACGGAGAATAAACTGGACGGGCCTTTGGCGCCAGGAACAGCGTTGGCGCTTCAGACGATCGGAGTGACTGCCGGAGTGTGTGGCCCATAAGGCAAATCGCCAGGCTGACAGGTGTGGTGGATGCATCGTCGACTGTTGTGCAGTCAATACTGCCACTGCAGTTTCACTGTAAGATTTCCGTACGGGGCAGGTAGTGCTCAACGGACATTCCTGCGACGCCCCACTATTTCGGAAAGCTTGTCTGGCGTCGCATTCGCTCAATCGGTCCCCATTGGGCTTAGTGCTTTCGTAGGGCCATCCTGCAGCAACGGCCCACGCTAAAAGGACGCCGTTGTGCGCTGTAGAGGACCCACCTGCATTTCCGGCCGACGTGGGTGACGTCGCTCGCACTTGCCGGAAGTGGCGGAGCCTGCGATGCTTCGCAATCGCTTTCACGACGTCGAGCCTTTCTTTCACTGTCACCACGTCACTGGCGAGAACGGCAATGTCCGTGTGCCGACCGTTGTGCGAGAGCGAGCCATTCGCCTCCAGGCAGAAACATTTCGACATTCCCCGCGGCTCCTTACGTATATTGGGACATACTGCAGCATCCTTTTCCAGCCGTGGAAGTATTCACCGACGTGGAGAGGAACTCTCAAGACCATCGCGACTTTGAGCTTTTCATATATCACGACTTCCCACTGCTGTCAAGCTGGCTCGAGCACAATAGCGGCCCCCTTCGATACCCATTGACCATTGACGACATCGGAGAGGTGATGCTGTAACTCTTACTTACCACCCTGCCAACTCCCACCTGATCACCGATCCATTGCACCGTCGAATCCCATCATCTCTTCGACTAGATCTTCTTTTATTCGTTTGTCCCTTTCTTCTGCTTCTGCAACAGGGCACCGGCACGACAGCTGCCGACTCCCCTCTCAACCTCGCGCAATACAACCGTTTCTGTGCTCACGCTTAAAGACGTGCAGGCTGCAGTTCCTACAGCCAGTCCCCATTACTCGACCCGGCTCTTTCGTATTTCGCTATTGTTCTTCGGTCCCCTTTTCTCCACGCCTTGGCCTTGGCAATCACGAAAGTTAATCCCTGTTCTTGCACCTGCAGTGCCAATATGGTTGGCGTTCCAGGCCGCTCCAAGGGTTGCAATACCTGCATACAGCGGAAAGTGAAGGTGCGTTTCTTGTCTTGCGGTCTCCTATATGTCTCCTGATCATTCCCTCTTCCCATCACATTCACACACACCTGATTTTGTTTGCACATACTTTCAACCGATACTAACGTCTGTTTTTTTTTCAGTGTGATGGTGGCCAGCCAGCGTGCGGCAACTGCCGCAAATCCAACCGACTATGCACGGGCTACAAGCGGCCAGTGGCCTTTGTCATGTCGTCCAACGTGGCCCTCGGACCAGACGCTGTCGAAGACCCAGAAGGTGGCACCATCATGACACAGGGCCGCTGGCGGAAGCGTGTGCGCAAAACCCCCAAGGCGCTCGCAAAGGACCCGAAGCCAAGACGAGCCCATGAACCAACACCCACCCTGGCAGAGGCTGCCATCACCGAGCTGACAGATTCCTCGTCTCTTGCTCCGAGCCGGTCAAGCAGTGGAACGCCGCGAGCCATTGATGCCGTCGACCTCTCCACCACTGTGGCGCCGGCCGACATCAAGCAGTACTGGAAGCAGTACATCTACCACGACACGGAGGACGACGAGACGGGAGCCGACGATGGCGGGCACAAACACCATCCCAACACCAACAGCACCAATGCGCAACAACTGCAGCACATCATCGCCACACGACGCGGACCGATGACCGTCGAGACCCTGAGCCGCGTCATCTCCATCCTGGAGTCGAGCGCCAACGTTGCCTTGCTCGACTTTGCCTCACCCATGACGCTGTCGGCATCCGCTGCAGCCGCGGGATCGCGCGACATCAGCATCGCAGGCACGGATATCTGGCCCGTCGGCTCACCATTCGTCCATCACTTCGGCTCTGAAGCCGTCTGGCGCGAGCAGCTCTTCCCCATGTTCCTCAGCTTCCACCTTCCCAAGGAAATCTTCAGCGGCTGCAAGACGACAACAAAGTCCATGCGCTCACGCAACTGGCTGCTGAACCTCCAAGACACGTCGCTCGACGGCGCCCCGGCCCTCGAGTCCGCCATGACCGCCTTGTGCATGGCCCGCGTCGGCCGCCGCAGCGGCAACATGGCTCTCGTCCAGCACAGTCTGCGCCTCTACACAAAGGGCCTGCGCCAGCTGCAAGACGCCATCCACGACCCGGCCACACAGCTGGCCGACCAGACCCTGGCCGCCTGCATGGCCTTTTCCATGTACGAAGTCGCCGAGTGCCCGTCACGCCACATCAACGGCTACTACTCCCACCACACGGGCGGCCTGGCGCTGCTCAAGATGCGCGGGCCCGATGCCCACATCACGCCGCTCGGCCACTCGCTGTTTGTCTTTATGCGCGTGCAGCAGTTCATCTATGCGCTGCTGATGCGCAAGGCCAACTTTTTGTGCGAGCCCGCCTGGACCAACCGGCCGTGGCAGACGTCGGCCAAAGACCCGCAGGACAAGTTCATGGACCAGATGTACTGCATCCCCGTGCTCTTGGAGCAGACGGACAAGCTGGCCGAAGCCGCCGCGCACAAGACCATTGGCCACGAGGCCCTCGTTCGCGGCTACTGGGACCTCATTGTCCAGTACGACGCCATCTACCGCTGCCTGCTGCGCTGGCACAAGGACCTGCAGGCCATTGTCGCCGGCCCCCTGTACTGGCCGGAACTGTCCACCATCGCGTGTCCCGTGTTCGACACCAACGGTCGCGGCCGGCCCTTTGCCGTTGCCTTCCACTTCCCAGCCTTTTCTATCGGCCAGTCTGTCGTCCTTTTTTGGGTCATCGCCATGGTCGTCAACTACCAGATACACTTTTTGTACAACCGCATCATTGCGCTGCAATCGTCGCCCGACTACGCGCCCGGCCCTCCTCGGGTCCCGGAACCCACCGACGATCCGTTGACGGCAGCCGGCGACTTGTCCGCTACCAACTGGTCCCCAGAGCCCGTCGCCTCGCCGGCCACCCCGTCACAATCCATGCCGCCGGGTTCCGGCCAGGACGTGCCCACTGCCGACGGCGACTCGTCGCCGTCCCTCGGCGAATTCCCGCCGTCCATCCCTGCCATGCAAGCTGCCGCCCATCACGCCATTGGCATCACCCGCACCGTCTGCAACAACATCTGCCAGTCCATTGAGTACTTCTTGCGGGACGAGATGGGCGACGTCGGTCCGCTGTCCATGATGCTGCCCCTGACCTCCCTGCGCCATGTTCTGGTCCGTACGGTCCCCATCAAGCCGTGCCCGCCGAGCCCGCACCCGGACCGGCCGGGCGAGACCTCAGACGACGTGGTCTGGGTCGATTTCCTTATGAGATACATTGGCGCCAAGGGCCAGCAGCTGGCCAACTATCTCGACGATGACTGATCCGGCGGTGGCGCCATCTGCCATCTGCCAGCTTCTGATTTTGATTTGTTTTGTTTTAACGGCGCAACGAGACTACCTGGTTCGATTACTGACTTCATCCTTTTTGAATGTTTTTTTATCGTAAATCTATGAACGGGTACACCTTGTGGGATCCAAGAAG